TTTGCTGGACCGCCAAAATCTGAAACGTCGCTTGAACCATGGCGCGGTCGATGCTCGGTTTGAATACATTCAGCCCTAACTACGTGCAGATCAACGAGCCTCAAACCGGCTGCTTGGGTCAACAAGTCGAGTCTTGGTCAGTAGCTGCACTGTCCTTACTTCCACTATCTGTGCACGCTCTCGTGTGATCCAACTCCGAGGACAATTTCGCTGGCATGCGCAGAGAATCAGTCCAGTATGAGACATTTGCCAAGAACGAGCGCTGCGGTGTCTATATCGCGTATCGTTCTGGGTTTCCATAATCCCTAGGCTTCTATGAGCCCCTTTCAATGGCTGCGACAGCTGCAGATAAATGGCTAACCAACTCGATCTGGACGCTGATGCGACGGCGCGTTGCATCAGCGGCTACCATGAAACGATCGCTTACCTATCGCCCACCTGTTTAGAGGTCGACTTTGGGTTCCTGATCGATAACAATCATGATCTACGGAACATGCGGAGAAGAACAACTTGAGCCCCAAGAGCTTGCGAATCTGAGTAAGATGCCCCTGATTGTGATACAAGGAACCCCAGGCGAGTTCGTCAGGCACCTATAGCGTTATAAGGGGAGCCTAGGCACAGCAATGACTTGCGTCATTTCTTCACCATTCTTTTGTCTCAGTCTGATTCATCTCCACTCGATGGGTTGACACCTTACCACCTTGTCACAAGACGTCAGTTGTCACAGATGACATTTCTGGGCAAGCTCCACCTGCTCTGCCGCCCGCTCCTTTCGGACAACGTCCCCGACTTCAAACTACCGTACCTTACAAAGATAGCGACTTCCTTGCCATATTTCTGCGCATGCATCCCTGGGCCTTCCCGGCCTTCATGAACATGTTTGTTCATCAAGCCCACCCCCGCCCGGCCGTGGTGTGAGACCGGTTTCAACGAGAAATTCCCAGAGACCAGGAAAGCTCATCTGATGTTTCTTCACGTGTAACTAGTATCACAGCGAGGGGTCGAGTATCAACGCCAATTATCCCGCAGCCGGAGCTGGGGAAATCAATCCAAACATGAGTCCCACACGGAAAAGGCGGTGCCGGGACGCGACGCAGGGGCTGATTAGTACTCAACTTCGCTTGCGTGTTTGGCTTTTTCAAAACATGAGCCGCACTTAATATCGACATGTTGGCACATCTCAAAAACGATTGGGTCTTGGTGGAAGACGTCAGATTCCAAATCCAGCGCACGATATTTTTGCACAATGTCGACCGCCAACAGAGACTCCGAGAGCCCGCAGAACAGCCCGGCGCCCAAGACAGCGAGAGGAGTCATGAACTGCAGGCCGTGTCAGATCCGCAAGGTTGGTGATCATAGTTTGGCTGTTAAGCTTGTTTTCTGATCGACGTGCGGGTAGATCAAGTGTGACAGAGCACTACCTGCCTGCGGAGTCTGCCACCTCTACCAACGGTCTTGCTTCTACGGTATGAAAAGCACCTTTGTCCATTATTCACTAAGCTATTTCATTGATTGTTCCCAATTCTAACCGGAGCTCAGAGGGAGTACCTAAAAAGAGAGGACCAAAGAAGGAGTCGTTGAGTGCACTCATCAAGAGGATCGATGGTCTCGAGGAGCTTCTCAAGTCAGACAAGACGCCGACACCACCAGGGACCGACATCATCAACACAGACTTTGCTGAGCCGCATGTCTTTGGAGGCGGCATCTCTGAGCCCTGCGGATCCGCATCATCGGATATCAGCCCATTCAGTAATTTTAGAGGCAACAATTTTGAGGCCAGTTCGTGAGTATTTCCCTTCTTAGTTCTATGCTAAGCACTTCACATCCTGACTGACCTTCAGAGACGTTTCGACAACTATCAATGCTGATGGTCTTGTGGATGTCTACTTCACAAAATTTCATCGCAATCCTTACGACATCCTGGATGAATTCACGACGAGGCAAAGGTTGAAAGCAAATCAACTACCTAGATCAGTCCTATATGCAATTTGCGCTGTAGCCACGGGGTAGGTCATAATGCCATACATGCCAGCTAGGAAGGAGTCCTAACTGACAGCTTCAAAGGTTCTCCGAACGACCTGGGAAAGGGCCAAGCAGTCATGTCTCTGGAGAGACGTACGCGGCATGGGCACAAAGGGAGATTGACCCTTGTGAAGTATCACTTGACTCATGCCAGGCCTTGCTGCTTCTCGTAGCAGCCTTTGCAGCGATGGGGGATGGCAAGAGGGCATATGTTGTTCTATGTAAGCTGTGGATTGATATTAAATGTGTACCGCTCAGTCGCTAACCCAAAATTGAAGCACAAGCAGTCGGTATGGCAATGACACTCGAGCTATACTCTCAGCCTAGCGACGGTGTGCATGATGACCCTACCAAACGGGTCTTTTGGACATGTTACATCATGAACACGTTTGTGTCTACGTGGCTGGAGCGCCCATCGTTAATGGATGATTCGTTGATCAAGGCCGACATTCAATCGTCAAGGCAACCTAGCCACAGCGGTTGGGGGACAAGCAACGATTTCGTCGCAATCCCCAATAACGACTTTCGGAGGTTTTCTGCCAGCCCGAAAGAGCCGATTGACGAAATTCAGAAGCTCGTCTGGATGGCTCAGATTTTGTCAGAAGCGAACAGGTATCTACTTTTGAGCGACACTGCATCGCAAGCAGCATACTGCCAGAGGCACAAGATCCTCCACGACCTGGACGTATGGGCCTCCAGCATCGGATCGAGTACGGATTTACCGACCGAATCTCAGGGAGGACCTGGAATCAATCTCCCGTTTATCTCCCGTCTCGTTGTTCACCTCATCCATTGCCTTATTCATAGGCCCATTCTACCGCTACGCTTGAACGAGCCCTCGGGTGTGAAGATGATACAACACTGGGTAGTTGAAGCTACTGAGACTGCCTTTCGTCATGCAACGGCAATTCTCGAGCTTGTTGGCCAGGCCAGAGAGACAAGCAACATGCCATTACCACCATTCGTTGGTTTTTGCATCTTCACTGCCGCAACAGTGCTCAATTACGGGATTCATTATGCGTCGGAACAGATCCCAGAAGCTTTGGCCGTCAACGTGGCCCCCTTTGCTGGTTCGCCAATCCCAGCAAGCTTCTTCGCTTCATCACGAGATCTCTACAGCCGCTCATTAGATGAGCTTTCTATCCTCAGCGACACATTCACATCAGCACGACTTTACTTGCTGAGACTGGAAGAGCTAAAGTCGGAGCATGTTGCCCTATTGAATGGAAAAGTAGCCGGCTACGTTCCCAGTTTCTCGAATCGATTCTTCCAAAGATACTCGCCGGCATTTTTACGAAGAGTCCAGGGGTTCCAGACAGGAGATTCTACTACGATTCACTCGAAGATGAGACTGTCTCAATCACCGTCTTCTGCCACCCATGAAGAAAGATTTCCGAGAGAACCCAACTCATCAGTGGCCTGGAATGTACCACTGCCCACTCATACCAGTAGGCCGTCGTTCACGGTACCGCGTACCAACAATATTGGGATTCCAAACACCCACAACCCTGGGCACCATAGGTCTTTCTCGGATAGCTTGTCCATGAGCCAGTCCTATTCATTTGATTCAAACGGCTCATTGTCTCACAAACAATTACCACTGTGGTCGGGATTTCAAGACGCCACCCCGAGACGAGGAGACCCACGCAGCCCAACAATCTTGGGACCTCCAGAACAATTAACATCTCCAATTTGCCAACCAGAGGGTGTGGTAGGAGGTGGCTCAGACCACTGGGGAAACATGAAGAGCTTTCCAGGGGGCGAACAGATTCCATACCAGGTTCTTGGCGGATCTGTTGCAGCGGCCGGTCCAGCCTATCAGCCCCAAGAAGCGCTCGGAAGTTCGTTTGTGCCATTCCAAAATTTCTCTGTACCATAGTTGAAACATCTGTCTGCAATTCAAGATACCTCCAAGCTTCCAATTGTTGAAGTAACCCTACAAAACGGATCGAGATTCATCTGCGACACCGCTAAGCCTATGGTAACCCCAAGTAGTGGACCCCCATCACGGAAAGGAGGAACTGGTCCTGACGTCGTATAACAACTCCACACCTCTTTCGTTTTCGCGATGAGTAAGTCTTTTTGCGATCGCCACATGTGTACAAGCAAGCTTAGCCACGTTTGTTTACTACACGATAAAACAGCGGGCTCCATATAGCGTGGCTTGTCAAGGTCTTGACAGAGATGGGCAAGGGATGTTCCCTGGGACCGATCGTCCTCTAGTACAGCCCTAATCGAATCCTTCTAGAACGCCCAAGTCCGATCTGTTTGAGGTTTATCTGCTGTCCGGTCAATCCGTCGGAGTGACGGTCAGAATATCCTAGGGTGACCCACTTCGTTCTTCTGGACTACTTTCGTGGGGTCCCTGGAATACCCAAGGCCATCCTTGGTCGCTTTTGCGGAAAACCCGAGCACAGAAAGAAACGATAGTTTTATATACGACAAGGTTAGACATCACTTCAAATAGTTGGCCTTTTAGATTGTGCGGTCTGCGTGTTGAGCCACCCTACACTCAAGGCCCTGTCGCAAGACATTGGATGTGGAGATCGGTGGCGCAATATTGCCCTGGTTCAGAAGGAATAATGATTTCATGACATGATAAAATGAGAAAATTGTGAGCTTATATATAACAAAGTACCTCGTGGTTCGAGAAAGATTACATCCAGCCTGACATAAACCTGTACATGAATAAGCTTGTCCGCGAAACAAATCAAGAGCGTCCAACAATAGGAGTCGAAAGGGTACCTGCGGAGCGCTCAACTGGTAGCAGTGAACTGCTTCTAGACAACAAGAGACTTGATACATCCACGCCGAAGGGATCGGGTGCTCAAGACAAGGATGCAGTCGCCACGGCGGTTGAGAATGTGGTGGGCACTGCTGTTATCTCCGTCGCTCCGGCCGAAGTGGTGGCAGTGGCACAATTAGGGTTCTCTCGAGGGCCAGCAGTCAATGTGACTGTTTGGCAGCCATCCAATGGCTCAGTGCCATGGCGGAGCAGACCGCTTCCACTGTCGCAAACATACAGTGCCTTCTTGCCGTTAGACTCGCACTGCAAAGCGCCATCTACAACGGCACATTCAAGGAACGAGTAGGCTCCGGACACTCTACCCGCTGTGTATGTGTAGATCAAACTGTTGGTGTTGGTATGCACCGAGAAGAACTTGTAAGAAGAGTCGAGCCAGGTCTGAACATGTGTATCACTTGTCAAAGTGAAGTTCAAGGAGGTTTTTGTTCCAGCTAGATCGATGGCAGCAAAATCAGAGTAGAGGTAAAGGTTGTATGGGCCCTCTCCGGAGGCAAGAGACGCTTGAATGCTGACGGGAGTTGCCGTAGCGGCGCAGGGCTCGGGTACGCTGACTGTGGAAGTCGGCACCGGAGTAGCTTCAGCCGTTGTGGGAACGGGGGTCTCGGTGACCGGAGGCTTCTCCCTTGTTACCCGGAACCAGGGGGATACCTTGTACTGCCAGTCGTTGAGATTGTTGGGGTCTCCGAAGGTGCGAAGAGTGCGGCACAGGAGCTTGTATTCGCCAGCAGGGATATCTCCCCCGTGTGCAAACTTGTTCTGTGGCTTGGCGTAGACACCTCCACTGTTGCGAGGATAGTTCTTGAAGGGGAAGCTCGTGATGGTTTCGGAGAGGCCGGAGGGCTCAGTGATGAAGGAGCCGAGGTACTTGTTCTGGCCTGGAACCGGGGGGTAAACCCAGTCTGACTCGTTCCAGTCCCGGGCGACATACTAAACGCATACAATTAGTTTGAGGCAGACCTAATAGAGGGGTCTTTACTTACGTCGAAACTGATTTCTCGAGTGGACCAGAGAACGTTGAAGTAGGGTTGCATGACGTCCCCTCCCTGTTCGAACGTGTAGTTGTGACCCTCTTCCATGAGACCACCGTATCCGCTGAGAAGCAGAGGAACACCACGTTCCATCTCCCAAATGTCACTGGCATAGATGGATCCCTTGACGCCTGCGAATTAAGTCAGTGAACAGGACCGCAGGGTAGCACGGAGCAGAAGTAGTACCCATGTAAGTGACGCGCACAGCTTCTCCTTGAGATCCTACAATCAGGATAGAGCCACCGTAGACAGGAAGCTTGATAGCCTCAGACGCGGATGGCTCAGAAAATGCGACAGAAAAAGTACCACTTTCTCCTGGCCCCAAGGTTAACTCGGTAGTAGAGAAGTCGACAGTTGCAACATTGGACTCGTCAGTGGCATATGGTGGAGACAGCGAGATCCATGCATCTCCTGCGCCCTTGGAGAAAATTGTGGTCCCAGCCTCATGATAGAACTGATAAGTCACCGACTCATCCCCAGCATTGGTAACCTTGACGTCATGAGTACTTTGAAAGTGATCAGTGTCGTTGAGGTTGAGAGTAGCTGGGCTGACCGTAGTCGAGTAACCGACGACTTTGAAGGCGTCGACCAAGCCAGCACCCTGGTGTACAACCGAGCTAATTACCAAGTTAGTTGAAGTTGCCGGATCCACACAGCAGGTGTTCTTACGCCAAAGCATCTGTGCCGTCGTAGTGACGGATAGGTTTGCCACTGGCAACAATCTTTTCGTGGGCCAGCTTGGCTCCTCCGTCACCGAAGGTAGCTTTGCCACCATTGGCGGCAAAGAACAAAGCTGCAACGCCAGCAATCTGGGGTCGGTTAGATTTGAACAACATTCAAACAGATGGTGAAAGTTTACGTAGGGAGTAGCCATGCTTGTGCCGGAAAACGTGGCCCAGCCACCTGAGCCAAGTGGGAAGGTTGAGAAGATAGAGCCGCCTAGGAATATTAGTCGAGGCTTCTTCAAGCAGGTGTTGAACGAGGGCATACCTGGAGCGGAAATTTGAGGAGCCATCCGAGCATCCAATGTCGGACCCCAAGACGTGAATTGGTCGATTCTGCCCCCGGCGAATGATGGCCGATCAATTGCAGCGGGTCTGTTGTCGTTCACGAAGTCGAAAGTAACAGTTTGGTTGTTCTCGTGTTGCCTCACGAGCCAATCTCCGTCCGTGTAGGTGATCAAGCTGTCTGTTACCTGGCGTTAGACGCAGCCTTAACGATATTTCAGCAATGACTTACATCCTTTGGGCTGTTCTTCAGCGTTGTAGCGAACTCGAGCGGGAATCTCCCAATCGGAACCCTCGTAGTTGTAGATCAAGACCCAGTCAACCTTGCCCATTAATCCGCTGTCCGTTCTTTGCCATCCACAATCGGCGCGCCTGAATCTGTCAGCAATATCACTCGAAGCACATGAATCGGAGCTTCTTACGGAATGACCAGAACGTTTGTCTCTGGGATGGCAGAAGGGTATCCGCATGCGGTATGGTCTCGAGGGTCCGAAGGCCACGACGCTTGGAATGAACCATTGACATTCCATTGTACTCCGTTGTCTGCGAGATAGATCTGCGGTTGATGGTGAGGACAATACATCACCGCGCTAAGAGCTTCGACTTACGATCTCTCTGGATTCACCATTGCTGGAGCGCGCAACCAAGGTCCAGGCCACCAGCTCGTCATGTTCGACGCTGCCAACAGTAGTGCTGCCGATGCCGTTGCCACCACTGCTTGTGTACCAAGGTCCATCTCGAGCTTTGTCAGCGTGATGATCTCAGCGTGCTTATAGAGCATGAAAACTTACTAGTTTCACCTGCGTTCCCTGCTGCAATCGACACAAAGGTGCCAGCAGCTTGGATAGCTGTCGCCACCTCAGCAAGAGGAGTATCTGCGAAGCCGCGATTGGATCCAAGAGAAGCACTGACAATATCAGCGCCCTCTTCATGGGCCCGCAGAAAGCCAGCGATGATGACATCCTCGTACGTGCTGCCACCGCATCCAAAGACTTTGTAGGCGCGTAGTTTCGCAGATGGTGCAACGCCCGGGACGAACTCGTTGCTACTAGCAATAATACCAGCAACATGAGTGCCGTGGCCATTGCAATCCATAGGGTCCTCGTCAGGGATGTAGATGTCGCCTGGTACGTAGGCGTCTCCAACGAAGTCGAAGCCGCTCTCAACCTTGAAACCAGAGCCTAAGCCACCACCGAGAGCGGGGTGGTTGTAATCGATTCCAGTGTCAACAACGGCCACGACGACATCTTGGCCGAGATACCCATTAGCATGTGCCAGCCCCACGTTGGTGTCGTTATGGGGGTTCCAGGTGGGAAACTGAGACTCGACAACGGCTTCGCCAGTGACAGGAATGCTGAAGAGAGCAGCTGCCCAGACCTTTTCAACCTCAGGCAAAGCTTGGATGTCTGCGACTGATTCGGCGGAGCCGTTCTTGAGGTCGAACGAAGCGCCATGGAAAAGCTGGGAGTTGAAGCTCACAGCAGGCGAGGCGTCCTTGCCAGATTCCGCCAGGGTGGCGAAGAAGCCTTCCGAATCCTTGAGGTATGGTTAGACGATATTCACAACTACTGTGTGTATGACAAAGAGAACTCACCGGTGTACCGTCACGCTTCCTGAACTTCGCTGAACCGGCCCCGGAGAACTTGACGATGTATCTTCCGCTGTCTCCTGATACTGGAGAAACGGGTCCGAGGATGGTCTCGGGGTCAACGGAAGCGGTCTGCCCAAGGACAAACCCAGAGAAGAGCAGTGAGCTCAAAACGAGCAGTGATCTGAATCCCATGTTGCACAGCCAAGACAAACGAGGCGCCTTGAAAGTCCTTGATGAAGCCTCAAGACCAAAGAAAGTAGAGTCTCTGGAACTCAGCCGGTGGGATATGTGACATCAATCGGGACCAAACTTGGCCATTAAGTACGTCCATTATGCCAGAAAACGCGGTAATTACTTGTGCAGAACTGTCTGCAGCCAAGAATGTTTGTTCTACTAGCAGATGTTTCCTTTGCTGTAGACATGGCTCAATGCAGGGGAGCTATCGTATTGAGTGGTTCAGTTGCATCGGAGTGGGCTAGATTGAATGTCACTGATTAGATTAGATGGCAGCTTCCTGCTCGGTGTTAGTCGGTGGTGGTTGTTTTTACCGAGGTGGTATCCAAGGGAAGCTCTTGGCAACAACCCGCGCCAATCGTACCAACAGAAAAGACAGGCCCCGAGGCGAGATGCGCCATGTAAGGATCCGAAGCAGGAACAGACGCGGTCGTTATGCCCCATATGGCCAAAGATGGCTCACAAAGCGCGGGATATGAGATGTGAAGTGAACTGACTTTCGGGAAACATTACATCTCTGCGTTCGAAGCCGGGCTGTGCTCCGATGCATCATGCAGGTCCGAACCTGTTTGTTTACTCCCCAGACATTTCCGAATGGAGCTCGGAAGAGAACCGAGAGGCGCTCCATGCTTTTTGCTAACATGATCTTCAGGCAGGATTGGACTCGCTTAATCAACTTTATGAATGCTGCTTATTTCCTCAGGGCTAGAACTTGATATCACTAATCCTCTCCGGCCCCTCTGACCCACCTGAACCATTGCGGACGATATCTGGATAAGCGACATTTCCGTGATGTAGTCGTGCGATTATTTCCGGTACCGAACGCCATTTTCCACCGGGCTCGGAGGATGGCCCACCGGATCCGAGCCGTCTCCGACAGACGGTATGGACCTCAGGATAGCCAGTCTGTATTCATGGAGAATAATGGCGCATAACTTTGCCTCTTACAGGTGTCGGGTGACCCTGTAACTCCCCTACGTAATTACACCCAGAGTCTTTCGCAAAGGAATGCATGGAAGAACTCTAACACCCTCTACGTGCTGCATACCATGGCTGACTTGGTTTTCCTTATGTATGGTGACAGTCTTGAATTTGAGTAAGATGCCGCCATTCACGTTGTAGGAAGCAGTTTAGCCTGTTGGAAATCAGGGTTACATTATGCATGATCATAGTACCACCCAAGAAGAAAGCCAAGGCCGAAGTGAGGGGACCCTGCATGCCGCGTGATATCCCCATTGTGGTGTGATGAGGGGTAGTGTTATTCCAAGGTCAGGCCGGCGGGAACGGGGTTTTAGACTGTCCGTATCTTGCAATCCTTCGGGTCTTGATGTATCCGATTATTGACCTAACTGTTTCGCAGAGAAGAAAATATCCCGACTGGAGCTATGGAATGGCGCAGTTTGGAAATTTGAGTTCGTTCACCAGTGAGCAATAAGAAAATGATGGAAGGCGGCCGACAAAATTGTCAAGTTTCACACAGGAGCCTTATAGGGATTCTTTTCTGATATTCAAGCTCCTTTGACTTGTCTGAATGTGGCCGGTCAACGGGCATTGGTGTCATGTTGTGTGGAATTGTCTTCCAAGGCCATCGTCGCGAAGGTGGCCTGGTAAGTTTTGCTAAACATACTCTAATCCTAGACTAGGAGTCTATCCAAGCCCATGTTTCTACCGATAAGAATTTCCCAGAGATGAAAAGAAGAAAGAGGAAAAAGAAAATGGAAACAACATTGGTTGGCGTCTTCGATACCAAAACTTGCTTGTTTTCGAGAAAGCCCTCTTGCGCCTTCAAACAAACATAAGAAAACCGGGGTTCGGAGCGTACAGGCAATGACCCTCCCCATTCAGGTCAATTGACTCACTTGGAACCCGGATATCGCATTCGCGAGAGTCATGCCAAGGCTTCTGATACTCGGATGGTAAAATCACGTCTTGGTGTTTTGAGTTAAGTCAATGAGGCTCTTGTCTCGTAAAGCATAATCACATGACATCACTCAAATCCGACAGCCAGAGTACTGCGATTGCAGAATTTGGTGAACAAAACATGCGATCAATGATTCAGAGACACCAATTTTGTCATTTGATAATGCATTCTCGCAGATACTCATACCGTGGTTGACTCGAGCAGCGACGATCGGATTCGAGTCCGGGTGACAAGTTTGACAAAATCATGCCATTCGGATGACAGAACTTACATCACGTTGATAGGCTGTCACAGGTCAAGTTCGTTCTCGAGATACCGGGCCTGCTCAGATCACGGGAAGGCGTCGTTCCAGTTCCAGACGTGGTGGCGCTAGCAGGCATGATGCCCCTTCGGCAACGAGTAATAAGCTTGTCATTGATAGGCTTCACTCCTTCCACAGCTATTTTCTACTAAATTTACCTGAGACGGGTGCTGACCCCAGTTCCAAGTTGGCGGACGGCAGTCTAGTTCCCGCGGCTAAACGGCCTTTGGTCCACAAATGCGGTTAACAAGGGATCATTTAGACCACGTCAACATCGAAAGAATCGGAGGCTGTTGCCGGCGAAAACCTGCAATGTTGCACCATTCGATCCATGCATTAGATTGCTGCACCTAGTGCAATGAGACAACAGTCGGACAGCTAATGCAGGAGCAGGAGCAAGAGCCAGAACATTGAGAGATGCATGCGGTCTTCTCGCGATGTCTACAACTTCAGGCCACCTGCAGCGCTTAAACTTTAACTCTAAAAACCATCTTAAATCCGATGTCGAGGGTGCTCCTTGAGACGGTCTGGCATGTCCCCGTCTCAAATCGCCGAAACAGGTATTTCACACGATCAATGTCCGCCTCATCCCTTAGCTTCCGTCAGAAGATGTCTGAACTTTTCAGCACGGGCCGAGACAAAACAGTCGAGGCTAACACGGCACCGTTGTTGCGATTACCCCAACCGCTGGCCTCGGCCCCCGTGGAAGGCTAGCCTACCCCGCGGGCACATTTTCGATCTCCGACGTGAGCTTGGCGTGGTGCCAAGTTTTCCATGGAAGCTTTTGAAGCGAATGAGGCAGTGCCTGACCGATCGGCACAGGCCTGCCGGTGGTCTCCACGTTGGTCCAAATGCTTGGGCTGAGGATCATATTGATCATAAGGCTATATGGAGACGGCTAGTATAGACGAGTCGGCCGGGGATGTATCCTGCACGCTCAGGCTACTTCCTCGTCTGAAATTGTCAGTCCGGTACCGACTCCGAGCCGAGATGGCAGAACTTGCCAACTTGGTGGCAGACTTTGCAGCTGAATGGATGGCAGGATTCAACCTGACACCAGACGAACGCACCCATGCTGTCAATCTGCATTCCTGGAACTTGCACTGCCTATTTTCCCACGGGGTCTCAGATAGGAACTTGGCTGTTCTAGCAGATTCTCGGTTTCACCAATATGATGGTCATGTAAGGGGGATGCCGTAATTTGCCGTAAGGCCAGCACCGTCTTGTAGGGACGCCGTATTGCCAGCATCTAGAGGCCGTCATTATACAAGGCCGCTGTATAAATCATCACATATCCTCTTCTTCCGGCCTTGAAACTTGTCCACCACCTTCACCACAAGCTTTCATGCGCCGGGCGCCTTCACTTCTGTTCACTCCTTATTCCTTTAACTCTGGGTAACCACCTGACATTGACTGTCATCACCTTCTTTCGTTGATCCGAGATCCGATACGCCCGTTTTCTTCCTCTCCTTCAAATTACTCGACACATCCGGCGTCTTTTCCATCACCATGAAGGCAGTTTCCGTTCTCTTCTGGGCCAGCCTTGCCGCTGCTGCCGTCACAGACTCCGGCCTCAACGCCGCCCGCGATGAAGTCGCCCGCGATCTCGATGCAATCACCGAGGGCGCTACTATCTTTGAGAGAGACGAGGAGGACGTGCTTCCGTTCTCTCTTGCCGCACGGGCCGAGGATGAGGAGGATGGCCTGACTACCCGTGACACCGAGGAGGGTAACCACTTTGGAGACCTCGTCGCCCGACAGGCGAATGGTACTGCTGGCGGTAAGGAAATTTGTATTGCTTATAATACGCTCATGATAGCCGGCTAACACGTTCCTCAGGGGCTGCCAAGAAGAACAACGGCAAAGACAACAACAACGCCAAGAAGAAGAACAACGCCAACTGCCAGTGCGCAAAGGGAAAGAAGAGAGGCAAAGACGCCAAGGGCAAGTCTTGCAGATGCCGCAACGGAAAGAAGAACAACGCCGCCAAGAACAATGGCAAGAAGAACAACAATAACAACAACAATAACGGCACCGCGACCGACAACGGCAAGAAGAACAACAACGGAAAGAAGAACGATGGCAAGAACAACAACAATGGCAAGGACAACGGCAAGAACAACGGAAAGGCTAACGGCAATGCCAACGCCAACGACGGCAAGGACAACAACAAGGGCAAAGACAACGGGAAGAACAACGGCAAGGATAACGGCAAGGGCAAGGACAACGGCAAGGACAATGGCAAGGGCAAGGGCGCAGCTGGAGGAAACAACAATGGCACCGCTGTCGACAATGGCAAGAAGAACGACGGAAACAAGGACAACGGAGGCAAGAAAGCCAACGCTTCTAGTGGCTCTGCTGCTGCCGCTGCTCGCCTGTTCTAAACATCCGTTGGGGTTGTGTTGACGAAGGTGGAGACACGAGACTTGATCATCAGGTTATTTCAATTGAGCTGAGAAATTGCATCTGAGATTGCAACATTTTCATTCGATATGATGCATCTTACACTTAGGCGTGCTTGACCAGTGAGATTGTGCGCAATAGGAATGGCAGTCTTCAGAATGTCGTCCGAACTAGGTGACTTTCGGGAGAAGATCGGGCCATGGTGAGGTGATACCGACGGGATGACTGGCACTTTCACATGACCGGTGTCCGAACGTCCGTTGATCGTAGCTTCGGACGAAGATGAGCAAGATGTTTGATCAACCAAACTAGCTCATCCCATCGGCTCATAAATCTCCGTCGCCAGAGCGTCACAAAAGCATTGCTTGTGTTGGAAAGCAACGAGTGAGATATGTTTCCTTCAAGTGAATATACGAAGGCAACGTAACATGGTGTGAATGTAAATTCACTTGGTGGTTTCGTGGTTATTTTCTTAGTAAACAATTTTTCAGGTTTGAACAAAGTTGCGGAGTCCGCAGAATGCGCACCGCGAGTCGCGAGTCGCGATCCCAAACGTCAGAAACACCCTCAAGAACTTTAAGCGGAGACTAAGCCGATCAGACAGGGATGGTCCCCCTAACTCGTCCGGGACAAATAATATTTAAGACGCCGTCGAAAGCGCCCCTTCATGACGGTCACCATCTTGGCAAGTAATAGCAGCCGGTCTGAATACCTAGAGGACTAATACCATTTTGAAAATGAAGTTCTCTATTGTTGCTGTGGCCTTGTCATTTGGCATTGCTTACGCCGCCCCCTTGTAAGTTAATCGCAACGCGTGCACTCCGTCTCTGTGTTCTGACGTGTTACACAGCTCGCGACTGGAAGGTCGGGCTATTGAAGTTGAAACCGTTAGCCACGTCGAGAACAAGACGCCTGCAACCGACGGTGATCCGTACGGTCCATTTAAGTCCAGAAGAGCCGTCGAGGATAAGACACCTGCGTCTGACGGTGACCCATACGGTTCATTTAAATCCAAGAGAGCTGTCGAGGAGGAGGAGGAGAATGAAGCTCGCTCCCTAGACGACGCTTTGGAGGAGAGAGATCCGAAGGACAACCGCAATGGGGCAGCAAGAGCACCAATTTTCCATGGTGATCCAGCATTCGGCCAGTAAACAGCTTTTGAGAACAAGTATAAGAAAATTGACGTGGATCACATTGTGGAGCTTAATGCTTGATGATGTGCATGTTTTTCTACAACCAGGGCCTTACATGGACTAAACAACATGCGTAAACGAACCCATTATCTATCAGTTACTTATTCCCTCTTGTACAGAGTTCTCTCGCGACAAGACTTTATTAGTTGAATGTGTTATCCCTCGAATTTTAATTGACTAAACGATGCTGAACTTGATACTCTTGTCACTCCACTCTGATGTTGCGGGGTCCCAAAGCTGCCTTTGAAGTGTAACAGTACTGTCATCCCAGACCACGCAGTCCACCACCGGACTTGGCATGTTCATGATTATTCCAGCTGACGCATTGCGCTCAACCCATTCCATGACTACCAAGAACGCCTGTGTATCCAGAAGACCGTCACGTCGCGGATACTGTTTGAATAGCTGAACGACCTCATTTTGCACATCAGGGGCTTTGCACACCCGATACGCGCAAGCCAGAGGCCAGGTTGGACTGTCATCCATTGAAAATACTTCAACATCACCTTCTCCCGCCCTTGGTGGCGGTCGAATGGCCTCGGCGGCAAGGAGTTGCCGACTGAGGGCTACGATGTCGCGAAACGTGGCTGTTATCTTTTCTGCTTCGGTTTCGTCCGTCCAGCTCCCAGTACGCACTCCAGCCCACAGATATAAATACTGGATCCTCAGACTAAGCGCTCTCAGGTAATAGTTCTCATCGTTAGTGTGAGCTTTTACAGCGAGCGGACGGAAGGCGGCGTCCCATTGGTCGAGATATCGAGTGAAGCTGTGGATATATGCTAAGCTGCCTGGTGCCCCATCCCCTGGTGGAAGCATTGGATGATCCGTCATCGACGAACCCTTGACTTGGAATTTGGTTCGTAAGGGTGCGTGGTGTTCGATATGATGTCTGACGATAGCCCACCAACGGCGTGCGACTTCCAAAGTCTCGAACACAAGGGGCATCTCGTCGATAGCGTACCGGGATTTCCGCCCCCGACAGCACCAGGGTACTCTCTTTTCCGTTTCTTGAGGATGTACACCGTTTAGAGCCCAAGCCTGGTGGCTGAACTTTTGAAAGCTGGACGATATACCGTCTAATAGAGCACTGCGCTCGGCTTCCAAAGATTGGTGGCACTGTTCCAAGATTCGGAAGCCTTGGTTGATGTGGTTCAGCCCGGCAGCCCTGTTTCCTTGGAGGCTCTCGAAAGTGATGAACATGAGGCATGCGAGCAACGTCCTCTCAGAAGACATCGGTGATGAGCAGAGCATGTTTAGTGCTTTGCCGTAGTGCACAAGGGCATCTTTGTGGAACTTCCCCTTTCCGCATATCCGCTGTTCTCGAGTGTTGCCACCGAGGGCGGCAGCGCCGATGGCTATGGCCAGATGTTTAATGACGGAGTCATCCCAGGAGAGCTGTGGAATGATCTGTGCGACGAAATCCGAACGGAATAAACAGGAGGCTTGTGAGAATGCAAGCCAGTAGTCGAAGTGGTCCTTCTCGAGCTGGTCAGAGAAAGTGAGGGACGCGTAACTTGGCTCCAGAAACAGCTTGTTCTTGGCCTGGCCGACCGCAAGCTTGGGGTAGACGAGACGTTGCGGTGGAGGTTTCGCGAGTGGTTTTGTCTTGGCTGGCGTGTATCCTGTGCAAAAGCCTTGGTACTTCAGGCACGCTAGGCAAGCCGGCTTGGTTTCATCACATTTGAAATGGCGGCGTCTAGGAATTCGAATACTTAGTACACGCTGTGAAAGTTGACGCACTGGTGTAACGGGAGGAAAATGAGATACCTGCAAGTAGTACACCCATTCCGCGATTTCGGCTTGCTGGTTCTTGTGAGCCGCGGGCGGTGCTCCAGAGCGAAGCTCATCACAAGCGCGTTGATTTTGCTCATGTCGGGTTACTGTGAGTCGGATGTTCTGGTCGTCGCACACCACGCTATTTGCGATGTAAGTTGGCTCAGGGTTCTCGATAACATGCAGAGTGGCCGCGGTTCCGTTGGGTGATGATAAAGAGTGAAAGGGACTTTGGTTGTTGGCAGCCTGCGCCTGCGGCTGATCGCGCCTATATCCCCATCCGGCGATTTGACCCGTGTGTCGACATGATGACCCGCACGTGATGGAGACAAGCGCTAGATCGATTGCAGTGGCACAGTGCTAGGATTAGACCCAGGTCGTCTCTTCAGCCAATGAATTAGCGTAATGGCGGACCTGCTACTCCGGTACCACCCATGGGCTGCTGCCTGGGAGGACCCCTAGGCATCACATTTCGACCACACATCTTCATCAATCACCTCCAAGTCTCATGGTTCTTCATGTTGCCGCCTGTGTTGGATGGTATTCAATCATACCTTCCGGTGGCTCAGCCCTGTGCCTAGAGTGTAGAGAGCTCGTTGGCTGATCTCGGCGGGTTGGCTCGATGCATTAAGTGGGCCGAAATCGCTGCCTACTGTTGCAGCATCTGCAACAAATGCAAGTTGAAAGTTCCATTGTATATTGCGACAAACAATAGTTATGTTATTCTGACTTGGGAATCACCACTTCTTGATTGTGTTATGCGTGCTCTAAAACGAACCTCGATACTTCGTGAAAGATAGCGTTGCTACCTCTGTAAGCGGCAAGTGAATGCAAATTGTTGGTAGCAACGTTCAGGCTGGGAAAAGGTCGTAATGAGTGTCGACGCACTTACTGAGCGCCTTATTGAGAGCGTCTTGCTAGCCAGGCAGTGTCCGCCACACATATGTGTAACCCGTGTATTCATTCTACCGAGACCCACTGCATTTCCCACACTAACTTACCTTCAAGTGACTAATTTCGTCTTCGTTGTCCTCCTCTTCGTTGTCGTCCCCTTCGTTGTCGTCCCCTTCGTTGTCGTCCCCTTCGTTGTCGTCCCCTTCGTTGTCGTCTCCTTCGTTGTCGTCTCCTTCGTTGTCGTCTCCTTCGTTGTCGTCTCCTTCGTCATCCCCTCTAATGGCCTGTATTATCGTCGTCCATCGTCGTCGTCCATCGTCGTCGTCCATCGTCGTCATCCATCGTCGTCATCCATCGTCGTCATCCATCGGCGTCATCGATTATCGTCGTCTGTTGCTGTCGTCTATAATCGCTATCGTTATTACTATCCCTATCGTTTTCTCTGCTATAATCTTCCTATTGAAGTCCTATTCACTCTAAGCTCAAAACCATGGGGTTCACTGCGCGGATAGCCAGCCTCGGTCGGAACTGCTTGCCAAGTTTCGAGCTGGCTTCCCTCCCTCCTAGAGGTGCTATGGCAGCCAACTGCCTTCAGAAGGGGCCATTCCTGCCGTCAACGTCCTTTGCGGACGCAAGAAGAAGGGACCACGCCAGGTGACTGCCGGAAGCACTTTGAGCATTGCCAAAAAAGCAGGTACCACTAGTTGACGGACTCCTGCTACGGACGGCTTTCGACCCAAATGACTACATTGCATCCGCAACCTTTACCGGATTCCGACCTCTCCATCTTCATCACACTTCAACTGCACATCATCAAACACATCTGCATCACCCAGCATCGACATCAATCAAGCCTACCTACATTACCCAAAGTCCTTCCATCCTGCAAACGTTGCAATGGCGCCCGCCCCGCTCAAGCGCAAGATGTCGTTCGCGACAGTAGAAAGGTATGAGGAACTCGACTGTCTCAAAGATATCTATTCGGAGACGCCGAACGACGAAGTCCTGGAGCAGGAGCTTCGAGAACCCTTGTTGTACAAGTGCTCGGCCTTAGCCAAGTTCCTCGTGTCCAAGAACCCAATTACTTTGCTCGACGCCCCGGTAGTACTTCGAGCCATCGAGGTGCGTACAGTCCGTAAGTCGTACTTAACCCAGAAGTTTCTGCTGACGTCGGCTTTTACAGGCTCAATGGCCCATCTTCCGAGAAAAAGCTCATTCCCAGTTTCTTGAACGCGTAATTGTCCAGATCTCCACGGCTCTGTGCAAACGCCGCGAACCTCAGCGACTTACCCTCCACGACCTCTTCCCCTTCCTGGTGGCCACCATCGCCGTAACCCAGCAAAAAAACATCAACGAGATCGATTGGGATTCTCATGTCAGGACACTGTTGCTGATTGCCTTTACCATGGTCAACGAAGTAAAACAACCCCTCGGGGTCAACCCGTGGCAACCCTGGTGCCAAAGTTCGGCTGACTGGGCCAAATCGCTGATCATTTTGGCTCGTCATGCCGCCGTCTTCTATGAGGAGAACCACGAATTCCTATGCGCGTTCAGGACTTTTGACTTTCGAAGCTACGACATGCCAGACCTAAGGGTTTGGTTGAGTGGGGGATTAACGGCGGCCAAAGTGTACAAATGCCGCAGTTACAAGGACGCGAAGGACTTCTATTTTCCAATGCCCCCAAGTGTCCTTGACAGGTACAAAGAGGGAATTGAGTCCATGTGGGAGAAGACACATGCCGAGATCTTGTACGCGCAAAAACGCGACGCCCCCGAGCCGGGTAACGAGGACGACAGCGGTGTCAAGACGCCTAGCAGCGAGGATGCCCCTAGAGCGCTCTTATAAGCGGCCGATCAGTTACATCGATATGAAGAAGTAGCATATCACGCAGCAACGATCCCCCCCATTAGATATTTTAGAAGTACAAACAGCGTAGTCAAGAATCAATCAACCGGTCTTGCGGAGAGACCAATCCAAGTCAGATTGTCTGATGCACCTCTTGAACGTCCGCATTCTGCATTCTGTTGCTTTGCTGTCCATTGAGGTGAGAAAGATCCTAATATTCCAGTCAATTGTCCAGGGTGTGCACCTAAACCACGAGTGCTCCTAGCGCCGAGTCGGCTTGCCTAGTCTAGAGCACGCCCGCCCAGCGCGCTCGCATTCATCCAAACTTGCATCGCCCTTCCTCTCCATTCTGAAGCTGGCTGTTGGTTTTCTATTAAGCGTAGGCACTAGCAATCGCCTCAAGCTGACACCACCGGCCCCATGCTAAGTTCAAAGTCCGTGCCGAAGGTGGATCCATCACCGGCGTCCATTATTCAATGTTAGAGAACCCCGGCGGAAGTTGCTCGAACATTTGGCAGTGCTGTCTGTAATGAGACCGCTTAATGTCCTGTATCTGCGGGGCTGCATCTCCTGTGTAGTTAATTACTCCTTTGAATATGGCAGTTGAAGAAGTGACAATAATATTCATAGCGACAACGACGATAGGACTGACAACGACAACAGGAACGACAATGACGCCAGCAACGACAACGACGACACCAGCAACGACGATGACACTAGCAACGAAGAAAGTAGCAGCGACGACAACTAGGGACGACAGCTAAGGGCGGTAACTAAGGGCGGCAACTAAGGACGGCAACTAACGGTGACTCAAGACGACGGCTCAGGACGACGACAACTACGATAACAACAGCAACAACAACAGCAACAACAACAATCATAAGAAGGATACTAACGACAACGACAACGACGACGACAACGACACTGGCAGCAGCAACGACAGCAACAGCAGCGACGATGACACTGAAGTGGAGCATATGCCCACAGGATATAGAGGCGTTCTCTTCCTAAATGTCTCGCTGAAAAAGACACTGGGTTAACTTTGCAGCGGCACTCCTTCTCTTCACAGCGCTGCCATTGATTGTATTGACTCCGGCACTGAGCGAATTAGAGTCCGAGAAAGGGTGCTCGTAAAACGGATGTCGCCTATGCTGCATGCACAGTTCCACATCGAACCGAGATCTCTCTCTTGCTGAAGGAATTCTTGGCGTAGTTTAGGTCTTACGTCAGATGGTTTTCCCCCGGCCGGATCACCGGTGTCCTTCCTACCTCCCGCTATTTGTGGATCACGCATCTGTACGACGCCGGGACCCGAGGGGCAAACAGCATGGAATCAAAGCGTTGAAATGGAAGCTCGTACGAGATGTTGGTCAATGATAGGTGCCTACGGGCAGCATCGATTCCCGCCCTAGCAGGCATTACTTTTCGATGCCGAGGCTCAAATTTCGGGGTCTTGGCTCTCGGCATCACGATTCGGGGGTCTTTCAGCTGTGCATAATCCCCGGAGTTACCTCAACTTTTCCGTTGAGAGGGTGAGCCGCAGTAGAACCTGCATGTCTCTGAAACGATGCTACTTACGCCTCAATGCACTATTCCCAAGACGAATGTCGAACCGTCAATCAGATCGTCGTTAAAAAGGGACGTCCTTTACGTTGTGCCTCCCAATGCTCTCTCTCTCCTTTTGCCCTACCACCGCACCACAACCGCCAAGATGCCTTTCTTCTCCCGCAACCCCTCCGTACCCATCTTCTACCTCGATCAGGGGCCCAAGGAGAACCCGCCCGCCACGGTCCTCCTCGTCCCGGGCCTCTCGTGCGACATGCACGACTGGTCCTGGCAAGTGCCCTTCCTCCTCGCCCACAACCTCCGCGTCATTTCCATCGACCCCCGCGGGCAGGGCCGCTCCGCCGCCCCGCCTCCAACATCCCCGCACCGCCAACCACCCGGCTCCTGGCCCGGCCCCGACGGCTCCGCGTGCCCGGCGTGGCAGCGCACGTGGCACCTGCGCCGGATGCAGCAGCTCGACGACGAGGTGGCGTTCGGGCTGTGCTGGGGCGGCTGGGGCGATGCGAGCGACTCGCCGGGGCGCCGCGAGGCCAGCGTCGCGGCGAACGCCGGCCGGCTCAAGTGTCCGCGCCTGACGGTCGGCAGCGTGGACTGGTACGTCGAGACGGACCGGACGCACATGCCCAAGGGCGACGAGGCGCTGGACGAGATCGTGCTGATGGAGGGCTGGGGGCATTGGTTTCATCAGCTGAAGAGCGAGGAGTTCAATGCGACGTTGCAGGCTTGGTTGGAGAAGATTGGGGTGTTGCAGAAGGTGAAGAGTGTCGCGTAAGGGGTCCCACACCCGGTGGACAACATCCCGCCGTGGTGCGGCCGGCAGGTGTGCGGTATGTGTTGGTTGGAGTGGTGGTGTTGAGGCCAGGGACGAACATGTGCCGGCAGCGGCAGAGGAAAATTGTTACAGATGGTAGATGTAGCAGTTCGGCCCTGTTTCTCTGTTGATTCATTTAACCTTAAGTGATTGATTCGTTGCCTCAAAGCAAAGCGCGGATCGATCCAACGAGAATGCATCTCTTGATGCTGAGGCTGGCAGGCTGTGATGCACCCAAGAGTCGTGAGTGTGTTTGATAAAGTTGGCACGGCAGTTGAGATGTCCCTCAGAAAGAAGAGACACCCGAGGCCCTCGGGAGATCGGATGAATGAAAGAGACCCCCTGGGGGCTGGGGTGGTGGTGGGAAGGCCAAGGCCGCGATAGCCTTCAGCCCTGTCCGCAGCGCCGACGAACGCCGCCGCGACGGACGGCCGGCGGGTTGGCGTCCATCCGCCGCAGTGCAGCGGATGGCATTGGAGTTTCACGGGGGCGAGAGCGCACCCGACTGTGCCGAGCGCAGGATGCTCATTTGCTATTTGCCGGGGGATGCCTCAAGAGAACAGAAACTAAACGCCGACGGAGCTGACACGTTGGCAGGCGTTGGCGTGTGCGATAAGGTTCGTCGTGCGATGGCCGTTCATCGCAGCAGGTTCGGCAACGGACGAGCAAGGCGTCGATTGCCAGCTTCACCAGTGTGTGTGTGTGTTCTTTCACCCCGCAATCTGTCTGGCCTGTGCCGTCGGCGGCGGCGACGGCGTTTGGGGTGAGGCAGAGGCGAGGTGGAGGGGGATGAGGGGGAGGGGCCGAGGAGCGCGGCAAGGTGCGGCAATGAAGATCAACGGCAAGGCGCCGGGCGGCGGTGCAGGAGCCATGCCTCGCCTTCGTATCGTATACGTCGGCCATTGAAGGGCGCGTCTCGCAGGGTGGTCTTGGCCTTGATACTGGCTCTGTGTGCGGCGGCGGCAAGAGCAGTGTGGCGTTGGGCGAGACCGACGGTACGGGTGCCGTCCGAAATGCCGTCGTGAAGTTTGAAGAGTGCCGTCCGCCTTCTTCCGTGCCGCGCCTGAGGTCTTGGGACGTCTGAGCTTTCTTGGGGGCAGCGAGGGTGAAGCCTGGAGAGTCGGCGATAGTTGTGGTAACCGGTTCGTCGTCGGATCCAAGCTCTTCCTCGTTGCCCCCCTCCTGATGCAACGGCATCTATCTTCCCCCACCAGAGCTCGGGGCGTGAGGGGCTCCCTGACGTCAGGCCCATAACGGTACGGCGCATGCGATCGTGATGGTGGTGACGAAAAGGCGTCAGTGACGCGAGAGACGCCGCACGGCAGGAGTCGTGTTCGAGGTTTAACCACAGGTTTGTGAATAAGGCAGACGAGCCAAATCCCAGCTGGGATGAAAAGAGCGCGGCAAGCCAGCAGATCTCGATGGTTTGCAGGTGAAGGAGGAATAAGGTAGTTGTTCATCCATGAATTTAGCATGTGTCGGGGCTGGATGTAAGCTACCTGCCTAACCTTCATCCTCTATCCTGATTTATCCCATGCATTGCGGCGCATCTAGGCTTCCCGGGTCATATGATATCAAAAGGTTGGCGATTAGTGTGATCCAAAGCATAGATAGCCCTACCCGCCCAACGACAGGAGCGGGTTGTGTGTCTGCCAAGACCTGCTATCACAGTCAACTGAAGACAAGACATAAACCGTTCCGTGCTGCGGCGGTCCGCACGCCCCCCGGCCCCCTCCTCCGTGGCAACCGAAGACAATGGACGCGGGGTTGGGGTTTATGTCCGTCCTGTCAGTGGCCACGCAGACATCCAACGGCCGAAGGCAGGCATTGTTGGGGGCCATGCAGCAGCTGCGTGGGTTGGCGGTAGATCTTCAGGGTCCAGCGCCACGCAGTGAGTGCCGGAGAACACGGGCCAAGAGGGGGAGCAGAAATGTGATGGGCGCGACATGCCCGAACCCTGAAAGGACGGGCAGAATTTATGGTGTCGTCTGTGCGAGTTAAGCCTCATGTCCGAGTCTGGGCCGCGAGTTTCAATCGCAAACTCAGCGCGAACGTCGCTCGTCTTCGGACTAGTTTGGGCGCTTCCAGTTGTTGCGTTTGGCTTGTCGATGAACCGGGACGAATAGTCTTCATGTTAGCTAGTAGCTTAAACGATTTGTGTAGGTCTCAGCCTCGGGGGATGTTCCGTGTGTGACGTATGTCTCTCGTAGAATTGTGTCCCCAAAAATACTGAGTAGATGAAATTAAATGGAGATAATTTCACCAATCGCGCTGTAGTTGGGACCGAATACGCGCGCGTTCAGCAGACATATGCCGCACTACATAGACGACCACCTGCGCCGACGACAGTGCTCGCGTTTTAGAATTCGAGCGGTCGCTGTCCAAAAGGTCCAAGTGACGTCTCACTCTCTGCCGCCACCGGAAGGACGTTCGGTCATTTAAGCTTTGTCCTAGCATTCGAGCACCGAGGTTCCCTTTGCCTTGCCTTGCCGTGGGGTTGCCGCATGCGCCTATTATCCCTAGCTTAGCTCGTCGCGCTGAACATGGAACATGCCGTCTTGGGGGAGCTTCGAGGATCCTGAACTGGGATTAGCCCATGCACACTAGCCATTCTCCAAGTTTCTGCCATTGGGGAAGGGGCATGCTCCTACAATACATAGCTCTCGGAGCTGCCTCCTGTCAATGAATTCGGCCTCTGCAGAGGAAGGTGATGAGTGTAGCGTCGCTCGAATGTCGGCCTCGTATCTTTGCAGTATTGACACGACCTAGCCGTTATGGCCAGTCTGGCCGGGCCAATTCAAGGCCAGGCGCGAGCTGATGAGAAGCGTGGAAAGGTATGCAGTGTTTCTATGTCTCCCCCCTTTTGCGGTACAGGTCACTGACCAAGTTACAACAGCGCGACACGCAAAAGTCACGACGCGCGTTGTTTTCCGTCTCTCAACACCGAAAGTCGCCTGGATACCCGACATCATGGGCTTCGAGGTGGAAGCATCGCCAGCAGACCCCCGCGATACCGCGAATCGGCGGCGGTAGCCCCAGATGCGGAACACCGACTAATACACCGCTTGCGCTCGTCCGGCAGCAGCACGGGCTGATCACGCCAGACGATGAATCAGAACCAGAAGTTGTACTCCCCCAAACGATCCAGATCGGCCCCGAAGTGTACACGCTGAGCCGGTTCTACGCGAACTACGCGACGACCGCCAGCATCGTCTTCTTCAACCAGCTCCCCGACCACTACAAGAGCGACCTTTCCGAGGCTAGCCATACTCGACATGCCACACATGCGGTGGCACTAGCTAGCGCCGCACGCCAGCTGCATCAGCCTGGTCTGATGCTGGAAGCGCGGCAACATTATGGGAAGGCGATTGGAACGTTGAACCAGGCACTGAGGGATCCTGTACGAGCTAGGGATGATGGAAACCTGGTAACAATGTTTCTCTTCGGAATGTTTGAGGTAAGTTGGGCCATTCCCTTTAAAAGCGGGTAGCTGTTTGCAAGTCCATTGAGAAAACGTCTGCGACACTTTTTTTTGGGAATCTTCACAGCTAAGAAAACATAGGTCATTGTCGGCAAACGAAGCCCAAAAGCCATTGATCTCGAGAACAATGTGTTCCCGCATGGCACCGGGGGCTTGCAACTATTCAAGTTCCGTGCCGAGCAGGGACTCACAAATGAAGTTGACAGAGGCTGCTTTTTGTTCTTCTGTCACGCTGCTGTAAGACACCTCCCCCTGGCTGGAACCACATCCACTAACATTAAGACAGTTAATGGAAATGTTTATTCAACGAGAGCACCTAACGGGAATCTGGTCAGTGCTGGAAGAAGTCGACACGCCATGGGGCAAGGGCCCTGTTCTAGAGCCTCTTGTGCGCCAGGTGGTTGACTTCAAGAAAGCTTTTGACTTCAAAATGCAGGTGCAAGGGTATGTGTCGAAGCTCACTGCAGAGCCAGCTGAGGACTTGACGGAACTGGTGAAAAGCGGCATCAGTCTAAGTAATGACCTCGAGGCTGCCGTCACTCTGCTCGGCTTTTCGGGTGCCTCTTCATTTTCAGGACAACCACAGCGGGTTTTCAACGGCCTCTTCACCCTATCAAGCGATGTCTCAGTCGCACTTGCACGGAGTCATTACCGATGCCTGAAAATTTTCATGTTGGAAAGAATCCTTGATTTGAAAGGCATTTTGAAGGAGGCCCCGGTCAAGATCGATGCGGAGGTAGGGAAAATGCCGAGCTGGTCTGACGGAGTCGCGGTTGTCGAAGAGGTTCTCGACGACATCCGCGCAGTGTTCGGGCTGGACGGAAAGGAAGCGCCGGCGGACGGACTTCCGTACCGCACGATGACGATGTTCTGGCCCATGGTGCTGGTCCGCACGTCATGCTTTGCGGGTCCTCATAACGGGCGCTGGGTTGCGGAGAGGATGTTGGAGTTGACGTCTGAGGCAGGGTTTGGCCTGGGAGTCGAGGCGGCCAACCTCTGAGCCACTGCCGGCACGGAGCGGACAAATGCTCCGTTGGTCGATGCGTAAATAATCTCTGGATTGCAAAGGGAAAATTGGAAATTGGTCTATATCTGGACAAGGGCGTACTAGCTGATAACGGGAACCATGATGAGAGCCTTTGATGGGGCCAGGGAAGAATTCGAAGATACCACGTTCATAGGACAATGCTGAAATCTCAACCTTTAAACCATATACAGAAGAACCTGAAAAGAACAGCCTCAGAATGCGTAGAGATTTAAAATACAATTCTCGTCAATGTATTTCCTAGCAATCTGGCCCTTGAGGTGGCCTACTGGCTGCCATATTACACTGTCTGAATAGACGAACCTCGTTCTCTGCAAAAGCTCCTACAATGGAATGCATAACACCGTGGTTGTTGAAGAGAACGAGATCGCCCTCCTCCCAATCATGGGGATACACATACTGCGGGCTGATAGCTGGTCTCTGCAGCCTGTAAATCAACTTCCGCACCTCTTTCAAGTCATCCATGACGGTCCCGTCTTTGAGATGGATCCTTCGCGCAGGCGTCGGGTATACCATCATGGCAAACTTCCCTGTCACCGGGTTCTTCCACGCCATCGGGTACTTTCGAATCTTCTCCTGATCAATCTCAGGCAGCTGGTCTTCGGATAGCTCCAGGCCTTCCGAAAAGAGCCCCAGCCCGTTTGACCGCGCCTTGGCCTTACTCATCCAGATGTACGGATGCGGGCCATACTCGACGAAGCTGGACTTGACGAATTCCTGATCCTCCTCCGACAGCAATTCAAACATGCGGTATCCACTAATGAAAGCTGTCGTTCCCAAAGGCACCTCGAGCTCGTCCCCGGTCCCGTCGTCGTACCGACAGATCTGCCGCCGCCCCTTGGGCACCTTACACGCGAAAAGCGACGTTACGAGCGGCGGGTCCAGATCATACATAGCAGAGTCAATGTGCCACCGGTAAAAGTGCGTAAAGTCATGGTCCTCGGCCTCCGGCACGGGGTGCTTGTGGAACGTCCTGTGATGCGGGTGGGTGAGCTTCAGGTCCGTGAGCCCCTCGAACGCGGCAACGGCGCCGTGGCCGATGACCTGCACTTGCGGCTGGGACGGCAGCGTCGTGAGGTCTTTGTGGAGAACGCTGCGCTTGTCGATGCGGGCGCCGTGGCTGTAGGTGCTGGCGTCCGGGTCGAAGCGGCGGGTGAGTTCGTACTGGGCTTTTGGGGAGAGGTTGTGCTGGTTTTTGATCAGGACGACATTGTTGGTATAGAGGGCTTCTCTGATGACTTTGAAGCTTTCATCTACATTTTGTTATAATTAGCTTGGATGTTGAACTTCTGATTGTAGGTGTATTACCATCAATATGTTCAAGGTCAATCCCAGAAAGCTCGGCGCCGAAATCGACTGCCGATTGCTCAAACGGCTTTGGAAGCGCTGAGACCTGGTACTCGACGGCTGCCATGATGTAAAGAGATGGAGAGTAAAGAGTTTGTAATCGAAAGAGTGAGAATGGCCACTTAGTAAATTGTTTGGGTCTTGTTGCTGTATATATATCCAGGCGCAAAGCTTCGTTCAGTAAGTTGCATCTGGGTGATGCGGGTGAGTTGCATGAGCTCGCCCGCGCCTCTGTGCGCCCGGAGATAATTGACGGGAACAATGTTTGGGCTGTTTCTATGGCGTGCGGGTGAGATCAAGAACTCGCCCGCATGCCCCTCGTCACTTGCCCAATCAGGAACGGCGACAATCCGATTACTACGCGTCACTGCGTGTTACACGACAGGAGAAGCACAAACCTCGTGGTGCGGATGAGTGAGTCCGACTCACCCGCTCCGAATTGGGAGAAAAGTTAACGTCGTCGATGTCAGGGCGAGAGCGATTGGCTATAAGTTCATGCAATTACCCGGGTAATACAAGGCTCATCAACTCTCCTATTCAGCCAGTTCAACTTACTAGCCTTGTTACTTTCCATATTCCCAATCTTATACTTCAAAATGGGCTGTCTCAACTCTTCATCTCAGGGTCTCTCTTTTACAGAGCTCCCGACCTCTCTTCGCGAGTCTTCTCTCATTGGTGCCGAAGTCCACCTGCCTTCATCAATGAACCTCCTGGACACAGACGCCTTGTCAAAGGAAGACATTGCCACCTTCAGGAAAGCGCTGTTCGAGAACCAAGTCGTCGTTATCAAGAACCAGAGGGGCATCTCGCCCGAGACTCTGCCCAAGTTGACCAAAATCTTCGATCCGACGGCAACTGATATCCATTCCGCCGGCGAGAAGGCCGTCAGTGACCCGAGGAATATCCTCTCGGCATACAAGGCGGGAAGAATCCCCAGGGCGCCGCAAGTGGGCATTATTGGGAGCGGCAGGTTCCGGAACTACGAAGGAGTTGATGAGTTGGAGGTTATTCACCTGGTATGCCCCTAGCCCAGTAAGTGTTATTGATAATTTGAAGTAACAATCGCGACTAGGATCACACTTTGTTCCATGAGAAGCCTCTGTCAGAACAGGAGCTCAGCGATGGATACACCCGTCCGTACCGGTGGCACATGGACACTCCCTTCTATCAGCGTTTGCCCGGAGAAGTCACGGTCCTCCACGTAGTGAAGGTGCCGAACCTGCCTGATCAGAAGCTCAAGTTCCCAGACGGCAAAGAAAAGAGTATCGCTGCTGGAGCTACAGCTTGTAAGCCATGGCTGTCTCAATTTTCGTATGTTGAAAACGTCTGACTGACCTTGTCCACAAGTTTTCTCCGGCGCACGAGCATTCCAATTGCTCACACCGGCCGAGCAAGAATTCGCTCTCAACACGACTGTAACATATGCTCCTCAGGCCTATGAATACATCCGACAATGCAAGGCGACAGAAGACGGCCTTTCAATCCCCACAATGGGCAAAGAAGTGCCTATCGAACAGCTCTCCGAATGGTCTTGGGAAAACGTGGCCGAGCATCCTGTAAGTACTATCCCACCAATCCCCCGCTATGGTCCCTCTCTCCGTACTGGTCCTAACCATTCCCCAGATGGTCTGGCGCAACCCCCTCAACCCCGACCGCCCTTTCCTCCAGGTCCACGGCTGCTGCGTCTTCAAGCTGACCACCCGGGATCCGGCGACCGGCGCGGTGGTCTCAGTCGTAGACGACGTCGCCAAGGTCCGCGAGATCGTCTACGGCTTCCAGAAGCGGATCTGGGCGGCGGAGAACATCTACGCGCACCGCTGGGAGGAGGGCGACGTCGTGATCTTCCACAACCGCGGCGTAATGCACAGCATCACGGGGCAGCTGGCGCAGTATAAGGAGGACGAGGAGAAGAAGAGGCTGATGTGGCAGTGTACGATGACGAGCGGCACGGCCCCGCAACCGTTTAGGAAAGTGCCCGGGGTTGTTGAGACTGGGTTCGCCAAGGCGGCTTGAGCGGCACGATAGCGATACTGATAGTCCGAATGTGAATCACAACAGGATGTCTTTTTTGTTGAAATTTGACCTCCTCAGGATCTCCAGTTCCTGTATTCAAAATGGGAGCATCCCAAATAGACGTAAGAAGTTCGCAACGTCTACGGCTAAGATTAAGATCAAACACATCATCACGCGGGTACGCGCCCACCACATCACTATATTAATTATTCAATGCAATACACTTCATGAATACTATTTAGCATAAAACGATTACCCTTCAATGAATCCAGCGAATCGTTTCGAATTCTTTCTTGTCTGTTTAGCGTAAAGGACTAGCTCGATTATGTAATCGAGATAAGTCCTTTTCAGCTAAGCATATCTGAGTTCCCCAAACTTCTCGGACTTCACTCTGCGGAAACCAATCTAGTAATCAGTAACTCGTGCACCAAAAGCAAGACAGCCCCACAATCTTATGCTTATTCACCGGCATTTGCGGGGCTGGTTGGATCTCAAATAATGTCAGTCCGCTTGTCACAGCGTCAATCTCTTGCGTGTCGCGGTCAGTTTCTCACCCCCAGCCAAGTTAACTCAGCACCCTTAACTAACGTGGGACGACCACTCAGAGTGTACAAGAAAGAAGAGAAAGTGCAACAAAGAGATCCCCTGCGCGAGATGCAACCGTCTGGGCCTCCATTGCGAGCGTGAAGTCATCCATCTGAGGCGCGATGCAGTTCGCCACGGTGCCGAGATTGGGTTCCTCGAGACTCTACGCAACACACTTCAGAGCACCACCGATCCCGCCACTACGGTGAGGAGGGCGGCCGATCTGGTGGCGTCTAGACTTGAAGCTCTACGATCTAGTCCGGGACAAGCCAGCGAGGGTACTTTTCAGACAACAGCAAATCTCGTCGAGTCTGGGAGTGCTGCCCGAGATGACGATTCAGGGCAGGACGACGCAGCAACCTCCCGTTCTAGAGTCCGCGGCTCGCTCACAGTCACTGCGTTAGAGCACATGGCCTGGGGCAGAAGCTACGGAAACTGTTATCCTCACTTACACTGCACCTGCCACCAAAGGCGGAACCTCACCAGCGCTTCCTCAACATCTCTTTCGGGATCACCCGCCTACCCAATTCCATCCCTCTCCCTCCTCCCCGAGCGAAGCACCGCCGAGGTCCTCATCTCATTTCATCTAGAGCACATCGCATGGCACCACAACTCCCTGCACTGCCCAACCTTCCTGCGGCAGTGCACCACCTTCTGGGACACCGGCACATATGACCAGCCGACGTGGCTCGCGCTCTACAGCGCGGTGCTCGCCGCGTCGCTGCTGAGCTGGCAGAACAGCTGGAAGCACCGCGACGCGTTCCCCCTTACCCTACCGGCGGGATGCTCGCCGCTGGATTTGTTCAACTTCATGGTCGACACACTCTACCAGGCGCACTTCCTTCAGAACGTGTCACTCTACTCTGTTCAGGCCATCGTCATCTCGACTGAAGTGGCTCACAACCTGGGCCTCAGCCAGCTGAACGCCACCCTATTCAGCGCCGCGATCCGGATGGCCGAGTGCTTGGGCATACACAAGATCACAGACGGCAGCAACCTCGACTTGCAGACACCAGAGGAGATATGGGAAGATACCCTGCAGAGAGAAGTCGGACGAAGGGTGTGGCTTCAGATGGTCATCCAAGACCACTTTGCGATCCCCTTCACCGACTCGTATGGCATCAACCCCGCCCAATACTCGACCTCCCTCCCGAGAAACGCCGACGACGCGGACTTGGCCGATGCCCCGGAGACGACACTGACGGTGAGCACGTATACACGTGTGCTGGGCGGTATCGCGCGGCTGATGCCGGAGCTGGCGGACGGCATGGGGCCGTTGAGGGCGCAGAAGCCGGCGAGGGAGCAGTATGCCCACGTCCTGAGGATGGACCAGAAGATGAGGGAGCAGGTGCAGTCGATACCGCGGTTTCTTCTTCAGAAAGATGAGGTGCTGGAGGGCGAGTGCGCGTGGCTTGGTGTTGCGCGGCAGAGTCTTGCCATTACAGCAGCTGAAAAGGTTTGGATCATCAAATTTTCCAAAAGGTATTGAACCGGAGGCTAACCAAAATCCGACAAAGATTGTCATGATACACAGGCCATTCCTCTTCCTCTCATTCCAATCAGAAGCCTACGTCCACACGCGCCGCACCTGCGTCGCAGCAGCAGTGACCATCCTCCGCGAACACAAAAGCATCGTGGAGTCAGGCGAGGTCTCCCTCTGGACACACGTCGCATTCAGCATCACCGCCGCCATCATCCTCTCCTTCGAGGTGATTTGCGACCAGAGCAAGGAGAGAGACACCCGGCAGGAAGGGTACCTCGACGCCATCCGTGATGCGCGAGAGCATCTCCTGGGCCGGACGACGAACGATGTTCTAGCGCACCGCGGGGTGGTGCTGATTGATGCTATCTTCTCCGAGGTGGGGGGCATGGAGTCATTCTCGGACCGGACGCTTGCTGCGAGACCTGATGCGATCAACTTTGAAGAGATTGCGGCTAGATTCAAGACGGATTGGTTTGTGCTTGATTCTACGGCGGCTAGTCTTGGGCAGTTTGATGTTGCCGAGGAGCACTGGGCCATGTCTGCGAATCCCTCTGAGGATTTTGATGAATGGTTCCAGCAAATCTTTCACTCGAACATAGTTGAATAGGCAAGTTGTTTCTCATCAGAGATCAAGGACTGTGAATTGCCGATCTTTCTCCAGCAATCTGGAATCACTCATTTTCTCCCTATTTCTTAACTTGCTAACCGACGAAGACCCGGTATTAAACTGTGCCAGGTGTTGATTGACACTGAGAGATACTCGGCTCCTTGAATGCGCATCGTTGGCAGTGGCCTCTACTAGGATGCTGTTATTGAGTTGGTCGGCTGCAGCCCGGTGCAAACAACGTGGTGGAAAGAGGAAAGATGTGATCAAGTAATGTGACAGACCGAGATGAGCACACATTGGTTGCGACGAAATAGGCAACAGTTGAGGGAGCTGTTGGTCGAGTTGCGGCCGTAACCCCCTGACAGCAAACACCGCATGGTGGCCCGTTCGATGGAGTTGGGGACATGGCGTGAGATTGGTTCTGGATCTGGGGAGACCTTGTTCAACGTCCAAGGGACTGACAACTCCGATCACAATGATTGGTGGGTTGTTGGATGCGAAGACGTGAACGATGATGTTTGCTTACCTGCATGGTGATCTTTGAATGGGTATTCGTGGACATTTGGGATCTCGGATCCAAAACAAGACAAGGTCTTGTTGTGAATGATCCTGGTGTTTGCTTCGGCACGGCATCCGACAATGAACTTGATATCGAGTCCGATTTCTTCTTCAGACCGATTGCAGCTCTGCATGGCGCGAATGCCTCGATCAAAGCAGCTGTTTCCCTTGTTCTAAAACCGAGGCGTCAGGGCTTGCTCGTCTCGATGTGATAACCCTGCTTGCTTCACACATTTCTACGGCCGAATTCATAGGTACTCCTTATTGGCCGGCCTGACGAGCTGCACCTAGGCTGCTTGCATTCGCATAGCTCACGGTGCGCTGCGTTGATTGGTTCGCTCCTCGTATGCGTGCTACGACATAGTGTTTCCGAGCGATGACTTTGAAATTGGCCCGAGGGCAAGAACGAGACACGGAAGTGTCAGTCTGTTAACGACGAAATGATTCGATGGTACCCGACAGCCAAGGGGGAATTTCTGCGGTTCTGGGAATCGTTTGGAGACTTCCCGAGGATTCAGTTGGTACGGTACCGGCTTTTTCTTTTTGGCGTTTGAATTTTGAGCTGGCAAAAATGGTATTGGAGTCATTGGAGGGGGCAAACAACGTAAAGAACGAATGTGATTCGCAGATGCAGCGTGACAAGCAGCATTACGGATTTGGCGCTGGGCCTGTTGGGAGGGCTCGCTATGTGTTTGCTTGTGCCGCTGTGCCGCCTTCTCGCTTTTCTCCAGATTCTCCGCGGATCAGAAGCTGTCGCCGCGGCTTGGTGGCGGCAGGCAGTTTGCTGGTGTTGTCTTTTGTTGGGCAGTGGATAGTCGTTTCCCGCCCCGGTCCATCGCATCCTTCATCTCCACGCCGTCCCATTCGGTGCACAGTACAAGCAAGGCAAGACAATGCAGCCTTAGCCACCACGTTGGAGGCTTGCAACGGTAGTGGGGTGCATCGCATCTGCCAGGCTCTCAGTTCTCATTTCGCAGGAGACTTGGGTGCTTGGCAGCCGCGACAGCTGACGAGACAAGGAGACGGGGATTCTGGGGTCCTGGGGATGTCGACACCGCTAGGTAGGGGGTCGATCGGTGCATGTTTCTTTTGCTCCAGGGTCCACGTCGTCTGCATCTCGATTATTGGGGCGGGTCGATCGTTGACGATGGGTCGAATCCTCTTCGCATTTTTGCTGCTCCATCCGTCTTGGAGGCCCTCGTGTCGGCCTTACAGCTTCAATCTGACCGACAAAGCGGCGGGTTGCGTCGTTGGGATGCAAGATGGAAAGGAGCATCAGGCATGCGGCAACACCTCAGCCATGATGATGGCCGGAGAGAGAGAAGTCTTGGAACTGGCGGTCAGCGCAAACTGTTCATTGGATGATGGTCATGGAGGCACACCACACCTCACCTCACCTCCAGCATTGTGGCGCTTCAAGTGAGGCAGTCCGGAGAAAGGCAAAGCTGGGGGCATACCGAACGATCGAGGCAAGAAGCAGGCCAAACGGAGCAGCTTCCACTTGTTGTGTGACGTCCCTGCCCTACCCCTACCCTTTGGCTTCTCCCTCCTGCAGTCGCGTCCCTCTCAGCCAAGTGTCGGTTGCATCCAATTGCTCCTTCCACGACGGACGCTTCTTTGACCCCCACCCCAGACTTCATGTGGAAGTAGCACCTCCTCCATCTCCTCCTCACCTCAGATCCCGTCCTTCACCATAGTGCGGAAGATGTTGCCCGGTTCCTTCCTCCCACCTTCACGGCCCCCGCTGTCATCATCGTCATCCGAGGAAACGGGAATGGTCCCGTCAGCAATCAGACGAAGTGCGACTTCTGCGTCTGATGCTCTGTTGCTCGTCTGATGCTCTGTTGCTCGTCTGATGGACACATTCATCTCGTCTGGATTGACATGGAGGAATTCGGCTGCCTGCTATGACCTACACACTGTCAATGGGGAATACCTTGCCCATCCTTTATTCTTATCGAGTGCGGTTCCACAGCCATTTCCCTTCAGTAAGCCACAGTGTTTGTTTGTTCATTCTGTTCATCCAAGGACCAAGGGCCAAGGGCCAGCCAACAACCGTCGCCCAGCCCTGCCGAGCGCCCCCAGACAGACAGACCATGCATGGGATCTGCAGATGCAACAACGCAAATATCTGACCAGACTCGCCTTACAGTGCGGCTGTGATGCTTGAGATACCTTGCCTTTCTTTGCCTTGTCCAGCATTGGTTCTCCTGCGTGACTGCTGTGCCGCCTTTTCCAAGACTCATTCCCCCTCTTCGTCCTTCCTTCCCGGCCTGTGACAGTCGTGGTCCACCAGGTCTTTCCCTCCAGGCCGAGACTCGAGCAACAACCACCGTCCTTCCTTCCTTCCTTCCCTCCCCGCGATATTCGCACCCAGCCTTACCATCTTGAGGTGGCAGTTGCGCCTCTCCGCCCCTCTCCTTCCCCATCCCATGGCACCGCCTGCCTCCCTCGTCCCTCGTCCCGTCTCCACGAGTCCACCTGCCCGCTCCTTCCCTCATGGTCCACAGTGTCCTATTTCGACTTCATCTCTTGGCCATTGCCTCCTGGCGCCTACCCCTGGCCAGCGGCTTCCTCCCATTTACATAGCAAGCATCATTCGGCCGTTGCCTCCTCGTGTTGAAATCTAGACCTTACCATTTTCAACCCCAGATTGTTGCCAACGCCAGTACCCAATTCAGAAAGTGCACTGCTCTTGAATATCCGAAGCCCCGGCACCTTCCTCTTCTTCCTTGCCGGCTTCATCTGCTTGCAGCCTCCTGTACTTTCTAGCAACCATCTTTCTACTTCTCCTCCACGTCCTCCTCCACCACAACCAGACTCCAGACGAACCCTCCTCCACCATCACGACCCATGCAACGTCTGCTTCACACCTTCTCGGCCGTGTAACCGCGCCGCACTTGGCCTCTCTCCAGCACCACGGTCTGTCATGCAGCTGCTCGATCCCATGTGGCTACCAGCCTGGGCTGCCTGAGATTAATACACGACCTCGCCTACCACCTGTCGATCTTATTTCGACCGCTCGTTCCTCGACCAGCTCGAAGCCAAAGATCAACAGCGCGCTCCTACTCACGCTTCTCCCTACTTTGCGTTGCAGTGGCCAGTGGATCGTCGCACAAAGCTGCCGTCCAGCAACACGGCATCTCGCTCGGGCTCCGAGCCATCGAGGCCTGCCACTTCGTTTCAACACACTTCTCCGTGGCCTGTCCATCCAGAGTGTCCAAGTTCTTTGTTCCGCCCGTGTTTCCTGTACCACAACTGTCATTACTTCTTTCTTTCCCTCGTGTTTCGGCCCTATCCGACATACATCAGGGGCCCTCGAGTCGCGACCATCCGGCTTGCATTTCAGCCTCCAGCATCCGGTTCCAAGTACGCCTGCCGCTCTGCTCATTATGCGTCCTGGCGTGGAGGACAGAAAAGACTCCCATGCTGACCACTTCACGCAGGCGACTCGTCGACTCGTCAACTCGTTCCGACCATCTCACACTCATCAAAGGTCCAAGCCCAACCTCCATATTGAGCCGACCAACGAGTATGGGAGACAGCCACGGCGCTCCCGTCGCAAGGGCGACTTCGGATTCCCTATCCCAAGAGCAAATCGACATCGTCATCGCCCTCGAAAGAGTCGGGGCTTCGTTGTCATTGGTCGGCGTCACCTTGATATTCATCACCTACTACGCCTTCAAGCGTCTTCGGACAGTCCCCAATCTCTTCATCCTTATGGCTTCAATCGCGAACGTTGGTGCAAGTGTTGCCTGTGCAATGGGGTACGACGGTCTTCGTGCCGGCGAAACCTCCGCCTTGTGCCAGCTTCAGGGTTTCCTGCTTGAAATGTTGGTTTGCCCTCACGACATTCCCTCGCGTTGTCACCACTAACATCCACTTCCACAGGTTCATGCAATCGGATCCTTGGTGGTCTTTTGCTATGGCCATCAACGTCTTCCTTGTTTTCTTCGCCGGCGCAAACCCTTCTTCATTCCGCAAACACCTCTGGGTTTACTGTTTTGTCTGTTTCGGCATTCCTTTGATTCCTGCTCTCTCTCTTCTTCTCCTCAGGCCCGACGGGCCAGACGACTTGATCTACGGCGATTCCACAGTAAGTCCAGGTTCCTCGAGATCAAAGGGCATGTCTAACGTGGCTCAGCTTTGGTGCTGGATCAACAACAAATGGAGCGTCCTTCGCATTTACACCTACTACATACCTATTTGGTGCTGCATCTTCGGCTCTTGTGTCATTTACTTTGCCGTCGGCTACCATGTATTCCATCAACGCAACCAACTCCGAAACTTGACCTTTAGCAACCCGGCTAGAGACAACAAAGATCTCTCCTGCTCGGATGAACGAGACTCTGCAGAAAAGGTAGCTCACTGTCACTAACTCCCAGTGATTGGCCTTTTGTTGACACACATCAGAATCTCACAAGTCGCACCGAGTTCTACGGCACCGCTATGACGGAGATACAAATAACTACCGTCACCCCAAGACCTTGGACACCACCAGCGATCCCTCAGTCGGCAATGACACCAGACTTGCCTTCCAATCAGCAAACTCGACACGAGCGCTCATGGCGCACAAGTGACGAGCATGATGCCCCGCCAAGCAGTCCACAATTCGAAACGACGTGTACTTCAAGTCCACCCCCACCAGAACCAAGACGCTCAATCTTCCATCGCGTTAATTCCGTCAATGAGAAGTTTTCGGCTCGTCTCCGAAGCCTCGACCCTGTCAAGCTTGCATACTTACGGACGAGTTTCATCTTTGCCATTTCGGTTTTCGTTACTTGGACGCCGAGCTCCATCAACCGGGTTTACAACCTCATCAAGCCTAACGACATCAGCTTCGGCCTGAGTGTCGCGAGCGCTACGGTTCTACCGCTTCAAGGCGTGTGGAATGCTGTCATCTTCTTCATGACTACCAAGTCTACTTTCAAAGAGGAGTGGGCGGACATGAGACACCGGCAGCAAGCCCGGCGACTCCACAGCAACTGCGACAGTCGTCTTGGCGGGAGGAGGATCGAGGTTCTGAGGACCGAACACCATGACCGATTCATATGCAATCGATATGGTCATTCCAAAGCCCATGGGAGCGACCAGACTAGCGAGCTGGAGTTGACAGCACCACCGGCTGTTGGGACCGTTCGTGCCATGCGGGGGTCGTTTAGTGTATGACTCGGCTGTTGGTGTATATTGAAGGTCATGAGTCCTTCCAGGGACTCGGCCATTATTGAGGAGTCAGGATGTGTACATTGCTAATCTTCTGGGGGGTTGGGGTCAAGTCCAAAACAGCGTTGGAAGAGATACCAACAGCCATTATATTCGGGGATTTTGGAGGTTGCATATTATCCGGGCTGGCGGCGATCGAATCGCGGGGTCCATGTATTTGCTCATGAATTGGCGATGTCAACAATCCGTCGTACATAATATCAGATGCCCATGCGTATCATCTCTGTGCTTCTTCGAGTGTTCACTTACTTCTTTTGGCAAAGCAACAAGTAGGTAAACTGGCGGTGACCGAAGAAAGACATCATCGGCACGACGAGTCTGTACACTCTCTCATAGTCGAGGCTTAACTTAATGTAGCCCTTGTCGACCAGAAGATCAACACATATCAAGGCCTGCGTCTCTTCCTTGCCTAGATAATTCAAGAGACGAGTTGTGTGAGTAGCAACAGGACGTTACAAATACCAATTGAAAGTCCCGACAACGCATCAGATGCGGATTTGCTAGTTAGTTTATTTTGGATTATGTTACAAATAGCGAAAAACAACATTTATCCATGGAAGTAGTTGAGAGTAGAAGTACATCTAAACCCTCTGTTTCTGCTAATTTACGTGGTCGCAAGTTTAAAAAGTCTGTGTTTTTGTCTCATTCAAGGATGAACTCCTTTCCCTATCTTACATGTTTTCTATCCGAGCTCTCCTTCCGCGTTAGCAAACAGCTGGTATTACCACAATATGGGCACTTTAGTCATCTGTATTTCAGCACAAGAGAAAGATTTCTATTTGGTTAGAGCAAGTATTCTTAGCTGCTGAGAGAAAAAGAGACAGAAAAGGCAAAAGTTGCGCGCCTGCGTGTTCACGCGCGGCGGATTCGAAACTTCAACCTCGACCACCCCCATGGGGATGCATTATACCACTGCCCCAAGCAGCAAAGGCAATGAAGACTTGATAGGCGGAGTGAACAGATGACGTCTCGAATGGCGGGTCGACGGCACCGTGGGTATCTGACGGCAAAATGGTCGGCGACGATGGATGGGGCCCATCATCTCCTGCAAGCTTCTCTGTGACCTTGAAAGATGGGCTTAAATGGCAGGATATCTTTTGGCCTTAAGGTTGTTGAGGGATATTTCTCTCTCTTGAGAAAACTAGGATCGGAGTATTTCATCAAGGGTCAAGAAAAAGACAAAAACAGGGTATCTAGGACCATAAGGTGACTCACATATTAGAACTGTAGAACGACCTCAATTATGGAACCATGCGTCACACGAAGGCATGATAATTAGGGACAGAATATGTAGTGATGGAACCAAACAAGGCTCTCGGAAAAACTTGATTGTGGATTGGGAGATGTCCCTGTAGTTGATATAGGAAAAGAAAACCAGCCTGCCCGATGCACCGTAAACCCATACAAAAAACAACAAGAAAACTAATCGTTCTCTGCGCTTCGGCCTCCTCTACGAGAGAAGACATATTCATGATAAATCCAAACGCTGATATCCACGCCATTTCCAACACCCCTTTCTCTGTCCTCGGTCGCTGTCTTTCTGTCTGTCTTTCTCTCTCTCTTGGATCATATCTCGCTGTGACTCTTTCTCTACAGAATCAAATTGCGCCCAGTGCTTTTTCTTCGGTGACATCATTGGGCTACCTCCTTGCCCTTGCCGGTCTCATTTGTTGTCGCGTCGTCTTCTGTGTAGAGACCGTGTTCCTCAATGTACTCGATAACTTGGGAGGGGATGAGCTGTGATGAGTCAGTTTATGCATTTTTCTTCGAGGGGGAAACGGAAGAAACGTACGTAGTCGATGCTCATATTCCTCCTCAACAACAGACGGATCTTAGTACTCGACACGTCGTTGGGGACGACTTGGGGAATGTAGTAGATCTGGTCCTCCCACTCCTTCAAATTGGTCAGCGCCTCGTCAATGTTGACGCCCGCGCGCTCAAGGACGAATGCGCCGAAATCGCCCAGAATGTGACGCAGGTCGGAGGGCGACCACACGCCGGGCTGGCTCATGGTGTTGATCAGGTCGGCACCGGCGAGGACGGCGATGCGCACGCGCTTGCCGTTGCAGCCGCCGCGCTTGACGTTGATCTCGTGCTCAAAGTGGTCGAGGACGACGGCAGTGGGCACGTAAGCCGTCTGCTCGGCCTCCCAGGGGTCGACCATCAGGAACTTAGACGTCTGTTCGGCCGCGATTTCGCACATGCGGCGGCGGTGGCAGGCGGGGGCGAGGCCGCGCTTCTTGTAGGCGTCGGAGACAGGGGAGAGGTAGGAGCCGACGAGCTCGTAGTTTGTGTTGTAGCGGACGTAGTCGGCGGCCATGACGGCCATGCGCAGGTGGAGGAAGGTGATGGGGGAGTAAGAGCCGGGGGCGACGAGGACGAGGGGCTCGCGGTCGGGTTCGGACTGGGTGAGGCGGAGGCGGTGGTCGGGGAAGGAGTACCCGGGAGGCGTCATGGCCTCGATGGTCTCGGGGCTGGCGACCATGGTTGCTGCGGGTTCCGGGGTCGAGGCAAAATTTTGCGAGAGGCGTACGGGGACGCCCGGTTGGAGGTGTTGATGAGATGGGCGACGCGGACTCGGAGGTCTGGTTTGCGTCGTGTGTAGCGGGCGCGAGCGAAGGAGGGGCGGTGGTGGTGGTGGTAGTGTCTGGTGTCTCGGGGATGCGGCTATCGGTCGGTGCCTAGTGAGGTGCGGCGCGGGACAGGACGGAGGATGACGGGATCTGCTGGTGAGTCCAGGTGCTTGGTCAGCCTTGCGCTATCGACGTCATGCGGGAATGAAGAAGGCAGACGAGTCGGGAGTACTTGAGGAAGAGACGCATTGAGGTGTGGAAGTACCTTGCTAACGACAGATGGCTGCTGTAGCGATTGATGATTGTCGGACGGCAAAATATGTTGTTTACAGAGTTGAGTTGGTTTCGCCGAGGGATAGAGTTGGGGCGGTTGGGTTGGGTGAGAGGAAGAGCCGAGAGGGTAGGTTGTTTTGGTGTGTGTGTCGGCAAGTTAATACCTTGACGGAATGGTACAGACGCAGAGCAGAAAGCAGAGCAGAGCAGGTTGGGGCGGCGGCGGGTGGGAATTGCGTGACTAAGGTTCTAGATGACACTGAGACAGAAGGTGCAAGGTGCTAAACTCCGGTGCGGCGGCGGTTGCCTTCACGAGCTGCCAGTCACGGAGTATTCGCATCGAGGGCAAGAGGGGTCGGTGGGGCCTTCCTCCTGTTGCAGGTGGTGACTAAGCAGAGCCCCCACCGCGGGACGGGCTGTGATTGGAGGGGGTGAAGGGGTCGACAAGGTCCGCCGTCTGGTCGCTGTCGGGACGCCTCTCTGATCGCCGCCTTTGGCATGTTTAAGCCATGTGCATTAAACGGCGCGTTTGCTAATTTGTTTCACCCTGCACATGTCCTGGCTGGATTCAGCGGTCAGAACAAGCCGGAACTCGCCCGTGTCTTCCCTGGCTACGCGCAGTTGTTGAGTCTCTGCCATCGGGACTTCATTCCATGTGCGGCCTACCCAAGGTATGATGAGGGCATCGTGGCCCGCGGACCACGCGGAAGTCGAAAGCCGAACCGCCGGCTTTGGCCCGATCCATCAATTGTTCAGTCGCGCATAGCCTTCAACGTTCCGCGGCAATTCATTAGCCCGGGTAGCTAGATGAATGATGGGCGAGACTTGACAGTTGGTGAAGCAATGTGCACTCTTGATAAGGCAGCCCAACTTTGTGCCATGTGCCACAGCAAGGCACCGAGTTGCGGGTGGTGACTCAAGCGGCTTCATCCCGACTGGAGTAAACTCCATGGAACTCACTGAGAACAGCTCTGTCCTACTCAAGTCGTTCCTCGGTCCCTTCATCCATTCTCCGATTTTTCCAGACGTTTCTGCTACTGCTCGCTGTCTGAAGAAGAGGGGTAGCAATCCCCGGCCAGACCCTGCGAATGACTTGCCGAAGACACCTCATTCGCTGTCGGTCGCATTCTTTTTTGGCTCTGAACTCTGTCTCAGTAACCAAGAACGAGCAAAAAGAAAACACTGAGAGGCCTCATTGGCCTGGCGGCCACGTGACTGAGTCCCCAAAACTCAATCGCCTCGTGACCTGCCAGACAGGAAGAGAGAAAAAAAAAAGCTTTGCAGCTCCCAGCGGCCCCCCTGCTCCGACATCGCCCCTCGTTTTGGGAATTCGTTAGCGCTCGTCGGCGCTCTCCTCTTTTCGCCGTGCCATCCAGACTGGACCGGCCGCCGCCGTGCCCCATCAAAGACGCGTGCGCTCCAAGCTCTCTTCGGCACCGTCGTCCGTCTTGTGTTGCTCCAACTGCCGGGCCCCCTTTCCTCCTCCTCATCCAAAGAGTGATGACAAAGATGCTCTCAACATCCTCCGTCTCAGCCACACCGGGGGCTGTTTGCTGCTACTGGCCACAGCGTCTCAAATGAGATCGGATGGCAGGTGAAGCGCGATTGACGACCGATCTGAGGCTCATCGGTTGAGCTGCCGGTTGAGACTCTACTTTGACCACTCCTACTAGTTTCGAGAAGTTACAAGGAGAACGGATGCCGGATCACCTAGGGCTATGTTGCTTGAGTTACATGGAAGGCCGAATGAGCCCACTGCAGTCAAGATGGAAAGATGTATTTATCCGTAGGTTAGGTTGATGAGAACGAGAACGATGCTAATTAACATCATCAAACGACACGGTTGATACAAGCTTCCACAGCACTAAGAATGTAGAACGTCGCTCTTCCACTCAGCACACGAATTACCTGCCACTTTCATCGCGGAACCGGCTCTCAGAACATGCATATTTTCGTCCGCTCTGAGAATAGCCATGTGTCACATCACAATAGACTTTCAACACTCAATATCGACAATGACGTCCGACAGGTGGGAAGAAACTCATCCGCCATGCTTCGCCCCTCAACCTTAACCGCATCCCAAGAGATTTTCTCCCCCTCCCCTCCTCCCTTTGCCCTCGTATTTCCAGCTCCATGTCACCCAAACACCACCCTCCGGCGCCCTCATCAATCTGAAAACCTCCGTGGCCCCGTGTCCCCGGCCCCGACAGGCCCCGTCGCTGCCCCTTCAATATCACCCAAACAGCACAAAACCGCAGGGATTCCCCACACCAGCGCTGCCAAAACGGGCACACATCCTGCCTGTCTCTGCCCTCGAAAGACCGCTGAGGTGCCTCCGAACCATTGCCATTCCCACCAATCGCCCTAGGATCGCTCCGACATGCGTGTTTTCTCCTGTCTGAGCTGGGCGCTACTGCACGGAATCTGGAAACCTGTGGGCACTTTGGCTCCAGTCCCACGAGGCCTGAGAAACGTTCTGACAGGAGAAGCAATGCCTGCTGTACTTGTACTCTGTATGTTAGCCCATGAACGGCTTGTGTATTGAGTTGAGATCCCGGTCGTTCGCTTCCCCGAACAAGCAACCACGACCGTCATGCCAGATCCAGCCGTCGCCTGTCACCCTCCAATGTCCCGTCTCGTCACGGCCAGATGACCTTTCCCGTCCTGCCGCGCCCCTGAGCGCCTCCATCAAGCGTGCCTCCCTTGGTGGACAGTGAATAGCCCATCGCCGTTGCAACACGGCAACGACCTACAAAACCAAACCGAGGACCCACGGTTCTTCAGGTCGTGTTCTGCCTTTTCCTCGCTTTGCTTCGTCCTGCTTGCCGAAAACACCCCCCTTCCCAGCAGTCCCGTTGGTTTCATTCGCTATCCTTCGTATATCCCTCCTGTTTTAAGCTGTCTGGTACACTCTTTGTTTCGATTCTTCCCCCAACCCAACCATGAAGGCTTCCATCTCTCTCCTGGCCGCCGCGGCTACCCTCGCCGCCGCTCTCCCGTGCCAGGACCCATCGTAAGCAGCAACAGAGACCCCTAAATGCGACGTCGTCTGATGTTGCGAAAATGTTTCCGACGCGGCTCAAAGTGCTGATCAAACCCACAGCGCCGGGTGCGGTGTCACCGGCTGGACCGGCTCCAGAATCGCCGCCCGCGCCGACGTCCTCGCGTTCCCTGGCGCCGAGGGCTTCGGCCGCTACTCCGTTGGCGGCCGCACCGGCTCCGTCTACAAGGTCACGAACCTGAAGTGCGTTGGCTCCACCCTCACCTATTAGTCCTTCTGTCCCCCGACTAACACGGTCACCCACAGCGACTCCGGCACCGGCTCCCTGCGCGATGCCGTCTCCCAAGCCAACCGCATTGTCGTCTTCGACGTCGGCGGCGTCATCAAGATCAGCTCGCGCATCGTCGTGTCCAAGAACATCTACATCGCCGGCCAGACGGCGCCCGGCGGCGGCATCACCGTCTACGGCAACGGCTTCAGCTGGAGCAACGCCAACAACGCCATCGTGCGCTACATCCGCATCCGCATGGGCAAGGGCGGCGACTCGGGCAAGGACGCCATCACCATCGCCGACGGCAACAACATGATTTTTGATCATGTCTCCGTCTCGTGGGGCCGCGACGAGACCTTTTCGATCAACGGCGAGGTGTCCAACGTCACCATCTCGGACTCCATCATCGCGCAGGGCCTGGAGACGCACTCGTGCGGCGGCTTGATGCAGACCAACACCGGCGGTGTTTCGCTGTTCCGCAACGCGTACATCGATAACAAGACTCGCAACCCGAAGGTGAAGGGCGTCAACGATTTCCAGAACAGTAAGTTGCTCGGTGTTTTCATTACGGCTCCTGGAAGCTCTGATACTAATTCGATGAATAGACGTTGTTTACAACTGGGGCGGCGGTGGCGGCTACATTGCTGGAGACAGCGATGGTGCAAGGTAAGTCTCCCCATCACCAAGACTACTCCTCCAGTCTCTTCACCAAATCATCAAGACTAACATCAAACCCCCAGCTACGCCAACATCATCAACAACTACTTCATCTCCGGCCCCTCCACCTCCGTCACCGCCTTCACCCGCGGCAACGCCAACTTCCGCGGCTACGTCAAGAACAACTTCTACGACTCCAACAAGGACGGCGTCCTCAACGGCGCCGCCCTCTGCGAGTCCACCACCTGCTACTCCAACATGGCCATCCAGACCACCGCCTTCGCCTACCCGGCCCCCGCCAAGCTGCTCTCCCCCGCCGACGCCGTCACCCACGTCTCCGCCAAGGTCGGCGCCTCCATCGCCCGCGACGCCGTCGACGCCGCCCTCGTCAAGCAGATCGCCTCCTACGGCAAGTCCGGCGCCCTCATCTCCGACGAGGCCACCATGGGCGGCGTCGGCACCATCGAGGCCGGCACGGCCAAGAAGGATACCGATGGTGATGGTATCCCCGACGAGTACGAGACTGCGAACGGCCTGAACGCCAACGACAAGTCTGATGGTATGAAGATTGGGGCCGGCGGGTACACCAACCTCGAGATCTACGTCAACTCTCTCGCCCCGGCGGTTTACTGAGCTGTGGACGATGAGTTTGATGGATCGTTGGTGGAGAAGGGACTGTGATGGTGAAAACCCCCCTTGGCTGTACATAGCACGCTCACTTATTTCTTCTTTGTGTATACTGCCCATCGTCGGTCTGCGACGAGGTACATATTCTTTTCAATGGACATACCATTAATCTTCCTGACCTTTGACTTTATCATAGCAACTTGGTGATGCCTCTTTTTGATAGCGTAAACGCATTTGCCACTTCTGTTGCTCCGGAGTTGATGAATGATTATCGCAATGAGGTTGACTTCACCCACACGCAACAACAGGGCACCAGGTAAACACTTCTCGACTTACAAGGACTCTTTCATCCATTCCATAGAATCTCTGTCCCAAATCCTATGACTGCGCCTCATAGCTAAAGTCAAAGTTCACCCCTGCCCAAAACGCATCATCCATCAGATTTTGGCCACCATCCTCGACATCCATGATCGAATCCGCCAGTGCAAACTGCGTATTGTAAACAGACTCAGACGCATCGCTGAACGGAGCCGTCTGCGGCGCCTGGTTCACCGCCTCCCAGCTGAAATCCGCATCCAGCATATTCATCAGCGGACACAAATTCTGCTCCAGCGTAGGATGCGTCTGCAACGGGTGCGTCTGCGCCGCCGCCGACGCCTTCTCCCTCATCGGCCCCACACACGCCGCCGCCGCCGCCGCGGCACAGCTCTTGTCCGGGGCGCACTGCTGCAGCAGCGAGTGCGGGATGCGCTCCGGGTACTTCTGGTACAGCAGCTTGATCAGGTCCGACCGCATCCGTCCCGCCGGGTTCCACGACGTCGACAGCTCGCCGAGGACCTCGAGGCACATCTCAATGTACGGCGTGCAGCACGGCCGGCCGCTGTTGCTCATGTCCGGGTCCGGGCTCGCGTACTGGATGAGCACCAGCGACGCCGTGAGGATGCAGTGTGTCGCGGAGATGGGGCTCCTGCGGAAGCCGCCAAGGACTTGGCGGTACTTCTTGCTGGCGAGGCAGATGCGCTTCGCGGACTCGATGCAGAGGATTTCTGCGCGCTTGATGGCGTCCGTTTTGGGTGCTGTGGTGGTCTGCTTCGGGCGCAGGAGGAAGGGTTTGAAGAGGAGGATGCAGCAGGTGTGGTAGACCATGTTGAGCGTGTAGACCTGGGGGATGTCGTTGGGGCGGTCGATGCGCAGGTCGGCTGGGAGTTCGTAGAACCACGTCTTGAGCTCGAGGGTGCACGAGTGGAGGAAGGATATCCTTTGAGGCCCTTTGTACAGTGGTTTTGGGGCGTAGCTGTGAAGATTAGTCCCATTGCTCATGGCGAAGCGGAAATCCGGTTCTTACAGGGCGAGCAGTATATTTTCGAGAATGCGGCAGAGACCAATGAGTGCTCGGTGAACAAGGATGTGTTTGGTGCATCGAGTCATTTCGTTGGCGTCTGTTGTACCGTCACTCATCCTTTCTGGTACTGAAGGGAGATTGACTGCTCCTTGGACGTCCTGTGATATGTTAGCTGGGGGTTCATCTGAAATGAGTCATTGCACGCACCAAGAAGTTGCAAACACGGCCAGTGTAAATAGCCGCGAGTTTGTCATCACAGTACAGTGCCCAGTACATCTGCCGCCGAAGTTCAATTTCTTCGGTAGGAATGAGATTTGAGCCAGCCAGAGATGTAGCGTCAACATTAAGACCCATGTCGAGAGCCAAACGATTTGCCATCCCTTGATGTAGCCAACCGGCAGCATCGCAACCATATGACTGTCTGTCATCAGCGTCCAATGATACAGACGGTGATTGTGATAACTTACAACGTAAACCCCAACCAGAATTGACATTGATTGAATGGTTGTAATGGATGGGCGCTTCATGTCTTTGTGGAGGAGCACTTCTGCCTTCTGCAAGAACGGCTTGCCGGCCGAATTCTGGTCTTCGGGTCGCAGGCGTACGTCGACCCTGTCTGTGTATCGTGACCCTAGAGCGAGAATGCAGTTGAGGAGGCAAGGGCTGTAATAGCGCCCTTTGGTCTTCATGCTCTGTCTGAAGAGCTTCTCGTCGACAATCTGGCACCATGGGTTTTGGTACTCAAAGAACAAGTCGATGAGCTCATTTGTAAGGTCTTCTGGATAGTTTTCACTCTCAAGTCTCTCGAGTGGGAGAATATAGCAGTTCGATTCCACAGATTTCGTTGTTGCAGGACTGCTTTCTTGATCTTCGGCTTCGGGTGTGGTTTCTTCGCACATGTGAATACCTCAATCTCAAATCAACATAGGATGAGAAGAGCACTCACCAGTCTGAAACTCCAAACGCCCACTCGACGGTCCAAAGTATCGCATCTCCCCATCCTGGTCGTAATTCACCGACTCATCTAGAGACAACGCCCCTTCGAACGTTGTGCAGAGGTCATCAAACGCCGAGGGGCTCAGACCAGCCAGCGCCGGGTCGCTGCTCCCGGGCGCCAACGCAGTCGAGACGGCATTCAACTGTGGGGTGGTCCCCGCAGCGGTGAGTTGCGCGACAGAGGCCTCTATATCGATGGAGTGAGACTGCAGGACGGCCTCCAGCAGGTCGATCCTGTTCCTCAAGAGCTGCACATACGATTTTGAAGCGGGCTTGCGGCCGTCTTCCTCGCTCCTGTACATGCAGTTGATGTTGCGCTCGGAGCAGCGGGTACACACGGGGCGTTGTCCATCGCACTAACAAACCGGGGCAAGGTATGATGTCAACATCCTTTCTTATGCCACCAGAAGAGGAAACACAACGAGCAGACATGGGTGATGAGACAACATAGAAAGAGGGAGGAGAATCCACCCACCTTTGCCCTTCGACGTCTGCACTCTTCGCAGGCTTTCGAGGTGTACCTGCGCTTCGGTTGGCTCGCGGCCCGCTCCGTTGACGGTTGGGGCATAGCGGCCAAGATGACGGACGGAGGCGGAGATTCAAGCTGGCCGGTGCGGGTTTGCAAGGGTGTGATCACAGAATCGGTTGAACGGTCTGGAGCACGCGGAGAGAGCGGAATACAGATTCCTCTGGTTGCGACGAGGGAAGAGTCCAGCAACGAGATTTCCCCCTTCTGCCCTTCGCCGTGGCTTGTGTCTGTCGTCTGACGAACCCGCTCTTTCACTGAGAAGCAAACGTGCGGGGCCAATCACATGGAGTTTGGAGAAAGGTTACTAAGCTGAGCGGAATATGTATCCCGCGGACCCCCCGCCGCTTGCCCTCTACGTCACGGGTGAAGGTGTATGATTGGTTGGGATATAAGACTGTCATTGCCGGGAATAAGGCCCTTTGAAAGGCATGCGGTAGGGGAACATTGAAGAAATGTTGAAAAGCCTCGCTTGATGGGATCTTGAGCATTTTCCGAAGATATGTACTGACACATGTCGACTTACAAGACAGCTCAAATACCTATGAGGAATATTTACCTCTTTGTTGGAGGACATTCTCAACCAGCTTCTGGGGGAGCCCTTCAAGTCAGCACTTTCACCTTTGTCGCCAGAACGAATGGTGTCATAATCGCCGAGAGGCTACAAATGCGAGTTCTGTCGAGATACATGCGTCAAAAAGGGCCGTTTTGCTGTGTCTTATTGAGTGCATCTTGACGGCAGCCCTGGGTCAATACAGGTCAGCGGCGATCAAATGGAACCAATAGCGCCAACTGAACAAGGAATTGGTAATTGGACTTGAGGGATCGCCATTCCATTTATCTGCCAATCTGAAAAGAGTGATGGACTGTGTGAGGCCGGTCCTGTTGCAGGAAGCTCTAGGCTTAGGTCTCATCAGCTCGGGGCTCACATCGGAAGCAAAACCCAAAATAGAACTCTAACAGGACGTCACTCCGCGGCCCAGCGCCGAGACAGTTCATCCTATCCTGTCGCCAAGAACCACTCAGCTCCTCGCAACGACCACAGCCGACTTCAACAAATCAGCATGGTGCCATAGCAGCAGCTTTCACGTTGATACGCTGCTCGAGACCAAGTGCTACGACTCAGTCATCCGCGAACCGCCAAGGCAGCCGGCGCTCTCAATCACAGAGCTGGGTCGAATTCACTCATGTCGCCCCAGAGCATCTCCATCCTTTACAATCCTTCCCCTGGACCCCTATCTCAGAATCGCATGTTTTCCAAGGCACCGCAGATCCTCCCCGCGCTCAGCATCTCAACAGCGAAGCCCCGAGATTGACATCCCGCTCCGTCATAAACAGAGGCGGGCGCGACGCCATGGACCGAGAGGGACACGGACAGACAGCGGTTCCTGCGTGCTGCGTGCTGCCTCTGGCCTGCCTCGTTTTAGCGCCACGCATCTAAAAAAGCAAACGCAACGACGACCACCCCCAAACCCAAGTCCGGTGCCATGCCGATCGCTGCCTCCCGTCTGGCCCTATGCAAGGACACACTCAGACCTGTGTGTTTGAGGAGATTGAGAATGATGCTGTTTGGGGGCGGGGAGCGGTCATATTGGACGTGTTTACATCTGCCGGATGCGACGCGACGCTTACGTGGAGGAAGTCAGCCAACCCAACAATCTCGGCCCGCGATGATCTTGATAAACGGACTAATCCATCTTCACCGGATCTAAGACATTATGCGGGGGTCACGCGAAGAGAGATGATTATGCCGGGCACCTTGATCAAACGGCCTTGGTTGAGCCTCAACTGGCCGCCAAAATCGGGGGACCGGACTAGCTGGGCCAGCACAGATCTGCGCCATCGCCCTACTCCTCCCTGACTCCCTCCGTCAAGACTCAATCGCACTTGAGATGAAATTAGGGGTTCAAAGAGCTGCAGACAGTTCAAAGCTTCCCACAAATGCCAAGGCTCGTTCGGGCCCTTTCGAATTGCCAGGGCCGCGTCGAGTCTGCGGAGAGGAGCGACACGCGTGTGAGGTGGTTACTTGGCTGCATTTCTCGGACGAACTCTGCCTTGATTGGCACAGTTGGTATCGTCCTACAAACGTGTTTGGCCACATTTGGGCGGCCGACGGTCCTTTGGCACGCACACCACCACCGGGTCACAAAGAAACCATGTTTCTGGGGTTGAAACACTCTGATCAAAGACCACGTCAAACACACTGCATCTACCGTGGCAAACCAACAGAATCATGTCTCCCATGTTGGCTTCGACACCAAGGCACCAATCTGACATACCAACATGGTATTTTCCCATCGCTTTCTCCCCTTTGCCCCTGAATCCTGCGACTGGCGAGAGAGACATCTCCCACTCACGGGCGGACTTCTCCACGGATGCCCGCCGACCTATTTTCACACAACCCCAACAGCCCAAGAAAAGAAAAAAGCCCGCCGCGCCGCGCTAGCGCCGCAAGCCTCACGTCTGCTTAGCTCCATGCCCCAACGTCCGGCTCGGCGGGAGCACGGCCGGGGCACGGCCGGCCCGGTGCCAGTTTAGCCTCCTTGCCTGCGTCTCCTGCAACTCGCGGGCACTGGCCCCCTTCCCATCTCTCCTTTACCCCCCACCACCACCACCGTGAACCAGCGAACACGGCCAATCTCAAACCGTCAGCGGCGTAACGGTGCGCGTCGTTCTTGTCTTGTCTGCATTAGGGGGATGGTCCGGCGTGGATGTGAAGGGTGATGGTCAGGGGAGACAGACGTGCCGGAGGAGCAAAAGGCACCATAGCCTCTCAAGTCGTCTGAAGATACCACGAGACACGAACGCCCGGCCTGAGCGAAGGCATGGAGAGACATCTATAAGAACCTTCCCGGAGCGGTGTTTGGTCATCGTGCATCTCCAGCTTCACTCTCCACCACTTTCCCACAACAGACATACACACACTCACTCAACTCTCGCTCACTCTCTTCATCTTCCTCCTCCGAGCCAACTACCCAAAACCGCCAAAAATGCCTTCCACCGTCGTCTCCACCCCCGTCCCCGCCGGCGTCGACCGCAACCAGGTCCTCGCCGCCATGCACAACCACGACCTGATGGTCAAGACTCTCTGCCCGGCCCTCGTCTCCTACAAGCTCGAGTCCGGCTCCGTCGGCCTCGGCCAGTCCGCCACCTACTCCGTCACCGACAAGAAGCCCATCGGCCAGACCACCTACCAGCTGACCATCAGCAACCTCGAGGACGGCGTCGACACCCTCGTCAATGCCAAGCCCCCGGTCGGCACTCTCGTCATTCAGGGCAAGTGGCGCGTCGTCAACGAGGGCGCCAACCTCATCCTCCGCGAGGAGGTCGACATCGAGGCCAACATGCTCATGAAGAAGATGGCCAAGGGCAACGTCGAGAAGACCCACCCCGAGCAGCACGCCGCCCTCCTCGTCCAGGCCGGCAAGGCATAAGAGACCTGCCTGTGTAAGAGGGCAAGGTAGTTGCATGCGGATATACCCTTCAAACTTTGTATAGTTGAGAGACCTTCCCCCTTATCCATTGAAGCGAAAATGGTTGCGAATTCGGCGTTCTAATATGGGGGGTTTTTAGGGGGATCTTGTCGTATAGATGAGACTAGACGTTTAATGGAAATATGAATTGGAGACTCACAGTGATTGATCATGACGAAGAGGTGTATGTGCGTTCACTGATTCTTTCTGACTCGAGATGGTAATTGTGGGTGAGATTTACTTCGACATTGTAGACAAGACCATGTCCAATGTGCCTAAGACCAGGGCGCCTCGTTTGTTGCAAAATCGATAACGTCCTTAGTACCTAACTCATTGACTTTAAAGTAACTCTCATGATTCACATTCATCCTCATTACTACACCGACCCAGCTTTCTTAGCCCCCTCCGGATCATGCGCCACAACCTCAATCTCAACCCTCATATCATCCTCCCCGAGCCTCGGCACACCCACACACGTCCAGATGGGCTTATGGTTCGGCATCCACTTGTTGAAGTTCCTCACCATCGCCGCCAGCGCCTCGTCGTTGATGGGCACGTGGTACGAGTTGACGCGGTACACCTGCTCCCACCCCTTGCCGCCGGCGTCTTTCAGGTTCAGCTCGACGTTCTCGAACGCCCGGTCGATCTGCGCGTTGATCTCCTTGAAGAACTCGCCCGTCTTGGGGTCCCAGCCGCCTGTTGCGTCGTTCCGGTGTCAGTCAACGTTACTTGAGAGAAAGGTGACATGAAGGGAGGGACGAAGGGGATGGATGGATGACGTCGTACCCTGGCCTGCGCACTCAATCCTGTCGCCCACTCTCACAGCCTGGTTGTAGCTAAAGGTCTTCAGGTTCCGTTCGCCGACACCCTCGTAGGCGTAGTACTTGAGGTGAGACATCGTGATGGCGTCGGCTTCGGTTCGGCTGTTCTTGTCTTTCTTGTGTCAGAGCGGTATCTGCCGTGGCGTGGTGGTGCGATGGGCTGATGTTGGGGGACAAAATAAGTCTAAATATCTGCTCTGGAATGAAGAAATAGATAGACATGACCTGGAAAGACCCCCCCTTTATACACCACTTCCGATACCCTTTTCAGGGTCGGGAGTGCGTCATGTCGCCGGAACATATATTCCATGTGCGGGGCTTGGGCACAGGTAGTTTTGAAATCACCGCGCTGAAGACCGTGGAAGAGGAGAGAAATTGCGCAAGCCGATGTTTCTTGCCGCATCGGCTGTCAAATTCACGATGGTCTCACAGGGAAAGACAGGAAACAAATGTTCTCACAGTTTGATATCTTGAATGCCTTGCCATGTCAGACCCGTGCCACGATGGTACGATGTCCCTCGCCTCTCCCTTGAGTGCTTTTGGCGACTCATGCCAGGCGCAAGTTACGCCACAGCTTAAATCCACGTGCAAAAAAACAGGAACCAACAGGAGAGTCAGAGAAGAATGCGTTGCTCGATCTCTAGCAACCGTCATTTGCCCGCACTCATCGACGACAGGGAGTGCAAGAAACCAACAGAAGGGAGGTATTCCAGACACGAAGGACAAAAAATGAGAATGACCGTTTCTTCTTGCCCGCTAACGCTCCAGACCCAGGGCTGGTTGCGGCCTAAAAACGGCACTAGGTCGAGTCCGGCAGGACCCTTTCAAAATTCGGCCCCGGCCGAAAAAGCCCAGGCATCGCGATGAACCCCGTCCGGACCTGGCTCCGATGGGAGGACCCTTCCGGTCTTCTGGATCGGGAATGTCACTCGGGCGCGGGACGTCGACAACTTCACAATATCGGGGAACGTTGCCGACCGGCCATCAAGGGCGGCGACCTGCAGCGCGCACACTCGGCGTGCAAGATGGCGTCTTAGATTCAGCGGCACTGCTACACAAAACCTGCAAGCCTTCCCAATCACCGGCAGGACATCTTGCATGCGCCGCCAAGCACACCTAAATCACCACACACCCCTCAAGCAGAAGCGACGGGATGATCTTCGAAGAGCCATGCCGGCGTACTTCTCCTCTTGCCTCCCCGCACCAGACTCAAACAACATGAAGCCACCATCACATGATGATGACAATTCGCATGCGCTCCCGCTACAAATCACGAACATACGCCATGTACATCCGACACGGCATCAGGGTCCTCAAGCCCCTCAACATCCAAACACTCTTCAAACCTCGCCGAGCACCCCCCGCGCCGATGATCAGTCGTGGACAAACCCGACCGGGCCCTCAAACGCCAGCCCGCAAGCCCCCAGCCCAACCATCCCGCCTCCGGGGCCCCGATCACAACCGCTTTCTGACAGATCGTCCCCTCCCCTCAACATGTCGTCATCAGCCCTCTTCGCCCCCTGAGCAAATAAGCATCGCACAACAACAATTCGGTCCGTGGTTCGTCGGCTGTTGGCCCCAAAAAGGCGAATTGACTTTCCCCCGAAAAAGAACCCCCGTCGGCGGCGCGTAGACGGGACGCATGTAATCCAGCAGACTTTCCACACACCTCTGCCCATCATCATGTATACAGCGCCCAGTCTCCAATCTCGTCTGATGTCAGTCGTGTCGCGCCGTCAGCCGTCCAAACGACGTCGACGTCGTGCGACCGACGCTCCCTGGTGTACCCCCGTAAGTCGCGTGGAACGGTCGTTAGCGGCAGTCGGTGTCTGTCGTAAAGCTGTAGCTGCAGATGAAGTTTCCTCCTTTCCCGTACTGATGCCGTCTCGGCAAAACCCGACCGAGCCTCTTGTCTTGCGTTCCCCCATTTCGTGTTCCATCATCCGTGTTCCGTCGGGTGGCTGGTGGTCGGGTCGCGACGTAACTGGTACTCGGGGTGGCGAATGACGTCGTTGCAGCCTTGAGGATCGTAAGCGGTGGATCGTCGCGTGGCGGCGGTAAAATTTCTGACAGGCGCAATGTATTCGTGAACGCCAGCATATTGGATATGTGAGATTGGGTATTCAGACCCGCTGGACGATCTCATGTTCTACGTTGCTCTGTACATTGCTGTTGTCGCATGTCTCGGTTGCACGTAACACACCACTCACGGTGTCTGCCACAAAACTTTGGTTGAATTGAAGGTCGACGCCTTCTCCGCCTACAAGCAGGTATATACACAAAAATGCGAACGTAATGTAATAATTCCCCAAGGCCCGAAGCCTTTTACCAGTAACCGTGACGCCTAATGCTACCCAATGCCCAGTGTGTCATTTGATGGTGTTGAGAACCCCAATGATGATGAAGATCGTTAGTGTACAAGTCGCGAACCGATGCAAGTTTTTGTTATCCACTCCAATACCGTAACCGTGCCGAAGCCGTAGACGAAATGATGAATATAACGCTGTAGGCCAACTCGGCCACAAGGGGTATCATGCCCTCGAATCCTGAGAGCTGTGTCCGATTATGCTGTGTAGCGAGCGCCCCGGGGTAGTCTGCCCGGGTAGTGGGATGTCCATGGTTGGCTGAAAAGCCGTGCCGTGTGCTCGGTTGGCCAGGCTGATGGTGACCTCAATCTGATGGCCGAATAAGTGTATCTCGCGTCCCGATCGTTTGTGGATGTGTCAACGCGGACCAGACTATGCTGGGTGTATCTTCCTCCTCTTCCGCCGCTGTCCTCCCGACAGCTTATTTCTTGCCCTTGCTTGGTGGCGCGGTGATCTTGCTGGTGGTCATGAGATCGCCAATGTACTTTTGGAGAAACTTGTTGTTGCTGTCGAGCTTGTCGTGCTCTTCGCGGACGGCTTCGATGCGGTTGAAGATGGTGAGCAAAGACTCTTGGAGTGCCTTCGCGTGTCTGGAGAGCGCTGGTTAGCTTTCAGGTCCACAACATGACGCGTGATGGTTCGATTCCTTACCTCTTCAACTCTTCCCTCGCCTCTCTGCCCAGAGCCTCAATGTCTTCGCTCGTCCTCCTCGGGCTCATTGCCCTCACATCGTCCGGTCCAAACTCGGTATCGATTGGCCCAACAGCTGAGCTATCCCTCGGCACGACTAGCGGTCCACTGCTCTTCCGGCTCGGTAGGCGAGGGCGAATTGGGGTAGGCTGGTGGATCTGGGGCTCGTCGTGCTCGTGGTCGACCGATGATGAGGAAGAGCTCGAGTGGGAGCGCTCAATGTGAGGAGGCAGGTGCGACTCGCCGTGCTGTTCTTGGTGTTCGTTGTCCATGATGCTGAATTATCGTCGTCGCGATGCTATGACTTGTTTCGGTGTGCCGATGGTCGGTGAAGATTATCGTGGAATCAGTGGAGGTGGGATCCGGTTGAGTAGGTATGCAGAAATTGGATGTCTGCAGCAAGAGGAGTGCGAGAGGGCGGCTCAAAAGGCAAATGTGGTTGAATTGAATGGTACTCCGTCACCAGGGCCAAGTTGGGAAACGGGGTCTTGCCACCATGCAAGCAGGGTCAGGGCTTAGTGCAGTGAGCGAACAGTGGCGGAGAGGGGGTAGTCGAGGATGAAGGAAGAAAGAGTCAGGTGGTTGCAAAGGTGGTAGCGGTGATGGTGGTGGTGGTGTATATGGGGCGTGAGGTATTATGGAATGTAGGGGTATTGGTGGTTGTATTCCGGAAGCAAGTAGGGTCCTACCGGTCTCTCAAACAGGGACAGGAGCCGGAGGGCGGGAGAGGTAGGGAAGAAGAGCAGATGAAAAAGAAGACAACCCAAGAAGACGGGCAAGAGTGAGAGAAAAAAGGCGCGGTGGGCCGCAGAAGGGTATGAATGGGGGACGAGGTCTCGTGGGTGTGGGTGGGTTTTTGGGTTGGGCAGAGTTGTCGAGGAGTCGCTTTGAATTTTTCCCCTTCCCCTTGTCTTCCTTGTCGCCAGGTGGTGGAATATGGGTCTCTCTTGATGCTCGTGGAGTGCTCGGCTGGTTCGCCTCGCGCCGGGTGGTCCTCTCTACTAAGTACCCTTCCTACCAAGTGAAGTAGAGGTGTGCCTAGGTACTGCGCAGTACGGATACTGGTTTGGTTTGCTGGCTTTTGCTTGTTGGCAAATGCTGGCCCTTGATGGGTGGGGGTCTGAAATGGCTATCGGAATTTGAGGAGCGAGAGAAAAGAGAAGAGAGCCCCAGAGAATAGGTGATCCGAGAGTGGGAATGTCGTGGGAGTAATACGGGATTGCGACCGAGAGTCAAGGCGGTTGCGTCGACGTCGTGTGTGTCGGTAGAGTATGTAGTGTACGTTGTGCGCCTTGTGTTCGTTCAAGGTACTCTGTACAGCAGACGGGAGTACAATGGAAAAGAATGGGAATAGGAATTGCCAATGGCGAATGGCAGAGAGCAGGAGGAAATGGACGGCAATGGCTGGCTTGGCTGGGTGTGGGTTTGGGTCGACAGTTGACGTCTACAGGCGAGCAGGTGGCCGCGATCTGCGGTACTTGGGGGGGACAAGCGCTGCCCTGAGTGATGACTGCCCGCTGCTGGGCCTGTGGTGTCGATCGGGGTGCTGGAGCCTTCGTGCCCTTCGGCCAATGTCGTAGGTAGGACGAGCGGTATGATGGTCGTTACTGAGAAGAGGGTAGGACGGGGGTGATCCCCAAGGGTTGTCGAAGGCTTGGGAGCCTTGGATTGCTTGGGTTCAGTCAGGGTGGAGGAGGGTAAGGGATGGGCACGACAGGGGTAGCCAAGTAAGTACCCTGCACACACGTCTTCGGAAGTAGGGAAGAGACAGGACCAGCGCGCAGGGGATCCGTAACGGGTTGGCGACTGGCTTAAGCGGCGGTGTGGAGCAGGATGATGTTATCGCAACCGTTTTGTTGTATTCGCATCGTCTCTGCAACTCTGTTGTGTTGCGTCTCTCTACGTAGCCAGGTGTTTACTTGGAGAGAGAGAGGCTATTTGCAGCTTTGGTTGGTCGGTGCGCCTCAAAGCGGTGGTGGGCGGACTGCGGATCGTGTGGTAGTGCTGAGGTTGTCTGTCTC